AAATCAACTCTGAACTATTCCCCGAATGTCTCCCTTTCTCACACTTTTTTATGGATAAACGGACAGAATGACAATTTTTATCACTCCGTTAATTTGTTTTAAAAGGGCGGGCCGCCTTTTAAAGATTCAAATAACAGGAATAACAGAAAAAAGTTCAATTCTTCTGTGATCCTGTTAAAAATTGGAGACGATTGTAAAAAAATGTTCTCATTCGTATTTGTTATTTGTTATAAAAAAAATTCGTGGTGAGCAGACCGCCATTTCATGACTCCCAGTTTGAAAATTAAAGGTTAGGAAATTATCCTAGATTGTGGAATATTAATAACTCATACGCAGAATCCTAGTTTCATTAAATTCAATGCCGTGGAAACACTTAAAAATTTTTTCCACGCCAATAAAACTAATCCTTCTCCCCGCTGGTGATGAAAATGAAAGGAAAACAAAGAGCGAGTTGGCGAAACGTTTGGAATTGCACAGTGGCGGTATGTAGATGGCAGTTGAATGGTATGCTGCTAGGATATTATGACTCTGGGAGTTATGAGACGGTTTTGCTGGGGTTCCACCGAGCAATTATAGCGCACATACACACACAAGTTGTTGAATCGATGGCGTTGGACGTAATTGAAATATCTCAATCCGTCTGGGTTGACCTCAAGGATCGCAAACCCAGGGAATTATTCCAGTGAACGATTCGCAAATCGTCCCTTCAAATCATATTGGTGTTGGCATTGACATGCACTCAATCAACCTCTCCCTTCTGTACTCCTCCAAAATTGTAATAAACATACACTGGACTCTTCAATTAATTACCACTGAAATCGTTAAACAAATTTCATCTTTCATTACTCAGGAAATTCATGAAAATTACAATTTGTCAATGCAAATTAATAATTATTATAATTACAACTGAAGATTTGAATTAATTATAATGAATAATTATGATTAATTACATTTAATCAAATTTCATACCTAAATAAATTATTTGGGTAACAAATAATGAAATTTTGATATCTCGTTGAATTTTGCATTCACTGGAATTTTAAAAAATTAAGGAATTGTGTATGGTAAAATAAGAACAATTGGGATAAATTTGGGATTATAAACATTTAATTACGAGGTGAAGTAGACTCGCCGATTTTGTTTGTTTGATTATGGAATTCTGGAATTAATGCTGGTAATTCACGTTTGCGTGATACTTGTGACTGTCTGTGACTCCTCAATTTTTTTTTCCCTCTCTTTTCACTGAATTTACGTGTTCATCGTACATGCGTGACTCGAAACACAAATGTGAATCACAAGACCCGAAAAATCATGCACTTCGGCATGTGGCAGCAACCCTAACTATTTAATTCTGAAAGCCCCTGTGTACATGTCGATGAGTCAATTTGTTTGTCACGCACGCGTTGCCATTTTCCTCGCTAATGATACATTGAGGATCCCATTAATGTTAAACAAACATATGTGCGAAGAATGATGAGACCAAGACCAAGTACTCGATATTCTAAAGTAGAATAGTTCAACTAACTCCATAGATGATGATTAGTGGTCAATTAGTTTCTCTCTATTATCTTTTTATGAACTCCGGAGGGAGAAATAATCGCCTGAGTTTATCTGGTTGAAAAAAATTGCCATTTTATGGACACTTGCCTCCAGTGAGAGCAGAAATAAAATTCCAGGATCGAGTTGTTTTTTGCAATCACAAAAAGAGAAGCGCAGTAATTAACCCTGGAATTATAATCCAAAATGCCACATTATTGTGAATTTTTTAAATTATTTATTCACTCATGTCTTTAAAATTTCTTTAAATGTTGATAATTAAATTATCGTCGCAGATGATACGATTTCAAAGGACTTTCGCTATTTTAATTTTTTTTTTATGATTTTTTTTATGAACGCGATTGTTCGCGCGTGCCCTCAAAGATTTATAAATTGTGAAGAAATTCTGAACATCTCCCAGGGAATTAGAGTAGTCTTCGGAGACTTAATTGAAACGAGATGAGCCAAGAGTGGATGGCTTACGTCCTGAGGGAAAAAGACAACGATCTTCTGCCGTCGTTCCCATTCCGTCAGAATCCCCACGAAATTATGTAGCGTTTCTCCTGTCAGTTTCATTCTTCAATGTTGTCCTTTGCCTGTTTCACCTAAAGTTCTCATTTTTAATTGTTGCCAAACTTTCTCTCTTGAGTTGAAAAAATCCAACGAAACTTCAGCATTCCTCGATTCAATCCATTATTTCTAATCACAGTCCCAATTTTTTTGAATTTTTCTGATTTCTGAATTGTTTCAATTTTTATTTTTATTTTTTTAACAAATATTAAAATTTTTCCAATTTTTTTTCAATTTTCAATTTTTCTCAATTTTTCAAATTGTTTCGATTTTTCTAGTTTTTTTCAATTTTTTCGATTTTTCCAGTTTTTTCAATTGTTTTAATTTCTCCAATTGTTTCAATTCTCCAACTATTTCAATTTTTCCAATTATTTCAATTTTTCTAATTTTTCCAATTTTTCCAATTTTTCCAATTGAAATCTACAGAAATATAATGACAAAAATAAAAATTGCAACGGGATGTTGAGATGACTGGATGAACTTGTTTTCAAGTGCTGTACTTCATGTGCGATCTTTTTCTTGATGGCTAAGGAAAACCGTGAAAAATCCTCGTCGACGTGGGCGCCCATTGGCCGAGATTTATTCCTTGAAGAAGGCGGCATTCTCCATTCCATCGGAGAATGCCTCCGACACTTAATCTCGATGAATCCTGGTGTCTAGACTCCCGTTAGACGGTTTCCAAGTTATGGAAAAAAAATTTTCTCAAAGCCAGACTCAATCCTTGTACCTCCTATCTCCACTTCAAATACTTTTATCTCAAATAAATTTTTAGACAAATATCCGCCCAAAAAAATCATTCGCAGAATTTCTGTTGCAATTCAAGAAGAAATTTCTCAACTTGTCATCAACTTGAATCACTTATCAATTTATTCAATTATCTCATTAATTATCTCCAAGAATTTCTCTATTAAATAATCCACAACATCTACTTTTATACTTTTTTATTCTTCAATAACTCCACTCCAATTTTTTAAATAAACCCCGCCGCAAATTGGAATTCAATTAACCAATAAAAAATCCGGAGCCATCAAAAAATTTCAACTCAATCCCCGATATTTTTGCGATATAAAAAAATTGCACGTTCACACAGTAAAATAAAAATGTTTATCAAACTCTAGAATCTTTTTCGAATCCTGACGTCGCCACATCTCAATAATGTATTTCGCAGATTTAATTGCAAATGGAATTCTTTATTTTTATTCAGTCTTCCCCAAATACTCGGTCGTAATGGGAGTTTGCTCATTCCATGGATTACCCCATCACTCCAATAACAATGAGCGTTGTTGGTTCTCCTTGTTTGCACGATGGTCTAACAACGAACTACGAACACCACCCATGTATATAACTTGTAGATATATTTTCTCCCCCCAGGGGTTTCCAAAAAAAAAATAATAATAATCCATCTATTCTACAAATACTCTCATTAAAGCCCTCGGGAGAATTCTCCTTTGACCGCACTACATATTTCTGGGAGGAAAAAGCAACAGATCCGGTAGAAGAAAAAAAAACAAACAATAGTGGGGAAAAATAACGGGGAAAATTAGAAAAAGATGGGGAAAGCAAACAAGAAATTTAACCGACGGTGAATAGCGAGAGACACATGACTTTGGTATGATGAGAGGAAAAAGGGCTGAAAGGAAAATCAAATAAAACCGAAAGGGTGTGGCTATTAAAGAGCAGGCATTGTCAGGATTATGCTGATCAGGTTTCAGGTCCGTTTTTACCTCATCACACTGCCTGGGTTATTCTTCATATTATTCTTTAAAAAATTATCATAATGTTTCCCTCCACATTGCAATATGAAAATAGGATAGCACGTGAAAAATTATTAAATTAATTGAATGAAGTTACTCAATTGTTAGTGAAACAATTAATTAATTAGAACGAGAGGAAAGTGACAGGATGCATCGGTAAAAAAGTTTAATTCAATTTCTTGACCATCAATTTTTATGATAATAAAAAAACGGGGATTTAAATTCGGTTTGTGATTTTTAAAGTGGATTTTAATACTAAAAATTAAACGTGTTCTCCATTTTAAATAAAACATTCAGGTGATGATTAAACATTAATTTTTTGGAGTGACGCACAAATTGTAGCTTCACGGATACTGCAGATATTTTATAAATCGTTGAATCGGTTGGTGAATAAGAGTATTTTAAATGAAATGAGAATTCGACAGTGCAGCCACATAAGCTGAAAAGCTTCAGCCTCAAAATGCTGGTGAATGCACGAAATGCGCTGAGCCGAAGGCCTTGGATTTGAGTAGAAATATTCAGCTGGCCATATCCTAACCAGTCAACTTTTACCGGGTAAAGATGATGTGTACAGGAATGTACGGTGAAATTCCTTATATGTGTATATATATACTGGTACATATGGAGTGCCAGAAGACTCGTAGCACAGATACTGAATTTTTTTTTTTCCCGTTTCACCGGCTCATCGCGAATATATTCTGCAAGCGGCTTAAGGGGTAAACGACCCCTTCCCCATTCACTGGAAATTTCAAACAAATATTATGGAAAAGTTACTGGTTAAACACGTGCTTGGAGCCGAGGGTTGGGGGGACTTTTTGGGAAATTTTTAATCTCCACAAAGTGCAGGAAATATTTTCCGTCTTTTTATACAGTAATTTTTGAAATTCATTTAGAATCATACAATTATTAAAATTGCAAAAGGATTGGATTAGATTAATAAAATTATTAATACCCTGAATTTTTTTTTTAAGTGATTGCAGTATTTTTTTAAATATAATAATCAATTTCAATTTTTAAAATTAATTTTAATCGCGTAATTTGGAAATTGAATAGGTGGATAGATGAATAGATGAAAGTTAAATGAAGGATTTTGCTCTGGATTTTTATATTTTATTGATCGATCAATTCTGATTGTTGCAGGCCGAGGAGTTGAATACAATAGTGGGAAATGCATTTCGCATGGCGTACGTGGCGCAACTTCAACGTCAGCCAATAATCCAAGATGTAGTCACAAATAGACAGAAGCAGGAGCAAAAAAACGTGTGGGTAAGTTGAAAAATACCAGTAGCTATGTTTATTGATCTTATTTATCCATCTGGAAATAAAAGGATATAGAATCGTTATTGATGATGTGCAATTAAGAATTGTCTGTACATCCAATGAATATTCATACTCGATTAGCTTCATCTCGTCTTAGAGATGTTATATCCGGACTGGAGGAAAAAAGATCGAGTTAAATTCACGGGAATACTCATTTTAGAGTAACTGTCTCATGAAGCAATCTCTGTAAATATGAACACTACTAGCCGTTCCATTTCCTGAGAGCGTTAATTATAAAGTTAGCCGGAGGCCTCAACGACGTCATTAAACTTTCATCTACCAAAAACAGTTGGAGAAACGAAAATTTCCAGAATATCAGAGGGTCAACATCACAAATTTTTCGAGTGGCAAATGCCGGAGAAATTTTAAAATGTGGCAATTTGGGTGGAATTTTTTTGTAGGAGCCAGTGGGACGAAATGAAAATGAAGAATTCCCCATTTTATGCTGTTTTAGCAAATTTTTTTTTTACTCTGGATATGAGCGGAATACTGATTACCGGAGATCAGGTTCGTTAGTTCTACTTCCGTTTTTAAATCATAGTTTACGCTCAGACATTCAGGAGCGGCTGCTCACTCCTCATTTCCGTGGATCACTGATCCCCAGAATTCAGGGAATACTTGTGATTACTTCAATAATTTCTGGAGTACTCAATAAATATTTTAACGTAATTTATTATATTTTTTTCATTCCTCCCAGTGACTACCAAAAAATTCAATTTGCACAATTGCAATTGTTCCAGGGAAAAACAAGAATAATTCGAAAAAATTTGAATAGTGGAATAATTGTTAACATGATGAACCGTGTGTATTAAAATTTCGGTGAACATACGCTCTTGGAAATTACCCGTATTTATTATCTTCTATTTTGGGCTAGAGGAGTAACTCGGTGGCGCCATTTGCTCGGACTGTTCAATTTACGGATGGTAATTTTCAATTACAGAATAAATCTGGCGAAGTTGAGGTCGCTAACGGAAACGAGACGAGTAGTGGAGGAAATTCCTGGGTGAAAAGTCGAACGACACCCACATCTCGTAGTGGAAACGTAACGTCCACAGCGGACATGAACGTACAAATCGGCACCGGCGGATCGCCCACATTGCGACTCGCAACAGTCAAGGTATCTTCAAACAATTCATCTCCACGTCAACAATTTATATTCATCTCTACCCTGATTTTAATCCAAAAAATAATTGAATAATAACAATTAAGATAAAAAATTATGTGAATAGAGATTTTTTAATTTTCTCAGTAATGATTGATCAATGAAAAATATTTCAGACACCAAATTCAATACCAGGACTGAGACCTTCGCACACATTCTCAAACGTTCTGGGACCAATAACGAATCAAGATGAGAAAAGTATCTCACAGCAGAGTACACCGAGCAGTGATGAGAGTAATTCTCCCACAGCACTCAACTCATACAAGAGATTGGGGGACAAGCCTCCGTTGATAAAGCGTTTGACAATGGGCCTGACTGGTGGAGTCTTGGGTCTCAATAGTGAGGATGACAGTTGTCCGCTAGTCAGCGGTAGCAGTACCCCGACGAGCCCAAACAATAGACCACACTCCGGTGGTTACATCAACGAGGCCATCATCGATTCCGAAAATACCAGAACAACGTACAATAAAATACAACCCTCCGAGAATATCGATAACACTATTAACGCATCCATTACTACGAAGAGTTTCAATATCGAGAATAACAGGTGAATTGATTAATTGATTACATAAAAATATTGTCAACTTGTCATTTAATTATAATTAAATTAATTACTCTCAGTAATTCCACTTGATTAACAAATGATCTTCAACTTTTCAGGATAGGTAGAAATTCCCCAGTTTCCGTAAACGAAACCGATTTCAAGACCAAAAGAAGATCACAGATAAGTACGTCAAGCAGTTCAGTACCAGCAGACAGCAGTACTCATGGATCAACACCCACACCACCTCCTCTTCCAGAGAGAACTGATAGTCTTAACAATCGCAGTGAAGAGTGTGAATTGCGAAAAGCTCCTTGGTTCCAAGCTGGCATACCCAGGTTGATACCTCATCCTTATTCATTTCGACTTATCTCCACTGGTCGATTTCTATTTAAATTAATCAATATCGTGTTAAATAGGGAAATAACCCTCGAAGTGTTGAGCCAAGAGCCAGAAGGTGCCTTTATGGTACGTGAGAGTACCAGTAAACCAGGCTGTTATGCTCTGTCGCTGCGTGTGCCACGAGAGTTTCAACCCAGTGGAATTGCACATTACTTAATCATGCGGACGAATAAGGGCTACAAGATTAAGGTAATGAGAGGAACAATGCAATTTTATCTTCGGACTTTTCGATTTTTTTCATTAAGAAAGATCATATCAATATTTATTTTCAAATGTGACATTCTGATTATTCATTATTTATTTTATTTCTAATTAATTAATCATTAATAGAAGTGAATATTTTTGTGGAAAGTATTCTCGAGTCAATTTGTTCGTCAGTCCTCAATATTTATCTGTTGCCCAAATTTTTTGGATTTTTCTGGAATTTTTGGAATTTTTGGAATTTCTTCAGCTAGAAATTTTTTTCAACTGATTTCACGGGTTTTATTCATGGAAAAATAAATAAGTTGTTTACGGGCGGGTACTTTAGGTATTTGTCGTGGTAAAGTGTAAACGCCATGGGCGATGAAACACAATCGGGGAGTTGTATAAGGGATTCCAGAGGGAAATCAAAATAACGTGAGACTTGTCGGTTTGATCTGGATACTGTTTCTGACCCTCCATAATTACGATATTTCCAAGAGAGGATGTATGCGTGGAAGATCAGAGTCAATTAGACCCACCAAAAATCTTATTTGATTATTTTTTATTTTTTAATAATCAACTCCGAATAAAATCCACTGGGAATGATAATTTTTCCGAGTTATTCTCAGTGGATTATAACGTCAATCGTTACATAATTTCTCTACAAAACTATAGAGCCATATCGAATAAGGAGAAGGTTAATTACTAATTTGAAACTTCAATTGAGATTCCTCTACCTAAAACGAACAGAATTTCAAGAGGTGGAACTAAGAGTATCATCAAATAAAATGGAGCGATATCGTTGGACTCAATCGAGTTCTTGGATTGATAGATGAAATAATGAATAATTTGTCTGTTTCAGGGCTTTACAAAGGAATTCACAACCCTCACCGCACTGATTACTCATCATTCCGTAATGCCAGAGTTACTGCCATGTCCCCTATCCCTCAGTCGTTATAATCCAAGTTTCTTAAAGACTGATTCAACGAAAGACTTTGCGGATATCGACTCTGATCCTGATTACAACACTCTAGCTGATTTTCGCAAGATGATGGCGGATTTGAATGTTTAAACGTTAAGACACAAGTGATTTTATTCTCTGAAAGTCAGTGATAGTTATTAAGAGAATTATAATAACTAATTTATAGTAGAAGGAATATCAACGACACAGTGATAATAATTTGAATGGACTCTGGAATGAAGTCGACGTGTTCACTGAACTAAAAAAAAAAAAAACTGCCAAGAACTTATTAAGAAAGTGAAAGGAATCATGATACTACTCTAATTACGTGATTTCGTAGATTTTAATATGCAAAAATTGATGTAAATGTGTTTATATGTATATAATTTTTGTTTATTGTTATGATTGCATTTTATTTAAACTGGAGTATGAATGATAATGCTAACGGTGACTAGTACGCGGAAAACGATTCTTTTTCTCGGTGAAAAAGGAATGATAGAATAAATATGTGGCGAGGTTGTAAAGGCAACGGAAGGCAAAAAAAATATTTATTTGAAAATTATTGAAGCTTGTGTATTTTCCACCGATTAAAAAAGGGTAAATATTTCTAAAAAAGCCCTACATATTTTATCGCCATAAAATTAATTATCTTTCACTGAAAGATCTGGTAAAAAAGAATTTATAAATCGAGGTCAATATTTTTTTTTGTTTTCTCTTGCTCTTTACCATTTGGCTACTGATATAAAATTGAGGAGAATTCAACCACTCGGCTAAACCTAGTCTTGTACAGAGATTATCATGCAAATAGATTTTAAAATAACGATGAAATTGGATATAACCGAAATTTTATGCCACGTTGCAAATTGTGCTAACCATTATTCGCAGCTTGATGTTCATAACATTCTGAGACTGTACACTAGTGATGCATTATATAATTTCCATAATAAAATTATTTATGACATCTATCTGCCTGTGAGATTGTTTCAGGAGGTGGAGAAGTTGTTCAAATGGATTGTAAACAAAATTGAGAATTCATGGAGATTTATTTTTCGATGTTGCCTTCAAATGAAATCTATTTATTATTCACTTTTACCAATCGTTCACGAATACTCAGTCGTTTTTCTCTTGGACCACGTGTGCCTCTCGTTCGGAAACAAATGGAACTGTACCAGGACGAGAATGAGCTCGACGTTTCGCCTCTCTGGGAAATAAATAAAATTATTAAACGAGTTCGATGGAGAGATCTACAAAAAAATAAAAGCAACGACTTACTTTGTTTTACGCTTATTATGAATTGTTCGTAATTCTGCTTGAGCATTGTAAATGTGTTTAGGCACTTGTCTGTGTCGAGCAATTCTTCGTACTTGAGGGTGTCCTGCGAATTTCGCCTTCAAAGCTGCACTGTAATTAAGAGCAGCTTTTTCCCTCGGTCTCAGCTATAAAAAAAATTAATCGCCATTAACTCGGGGTTTTCAAACATAACACAATTTTTTTATTTTGGTTTCATATGAATTTCTACTCACGACTCCCAATTTTTCTGATGCGCGAGCCTTCCACACTCGAATATTCATTTCATCACTGCCACTGATGATGTATTTATTATCGAGAGACCAAGCAATGCTCGTGAGTCTCTGCATTCGTTTTGTGTGGTAAATATCCCTAGAATGGCCTTTATTAATTTCATATATTCTCACTGATTTGTCGTAACTTCCCGAGACAAATTCTTTCCCCGTTGGTGAGTAATCGACGTCAGTAACGGCGCCCACGTGGTCTTTATGAACATTAACTGGAGTTTTTAATTTTCTGATATCAAAAGTGTATAAACTGAAACAATAATATTCATGAATTTAATAAAAATGAGTGCATTATCAAAATAATTAACAATACAGTTCGTATATTAAAAATTGACTCACTTGTAATCTTCGTTGGCACAGGTAAAAGTGTAGGCCTCCATAGGATTCCACGCCAACTTATTAGTTTTCAATTTCAGAACAACTTTACGGAGTGGACCGGTGTCTCTCGTATCATACAAGATGATACTCCTATCACTCGCACAAGCCGCGAGCAAATTCGATTGAACAAAATTATATTTAACATCGTGAAGACTGTCTACACCCCATTTGAACGTTTTTATCGGTTCATTCCTAGTTTCTTCCCATAATTGACAGACTTCTCCGCACGTCGCGAACTCAGGTTTCTTCCGATGATGTGAAATGCCAGTGATGACGTTCTAAAAAAGAATTTCAATTATTTGAATTCGATCTGCATTGAATAACTTGAAAAAATAACGAAGACAGATAAATTCAATTTAAAATCCGATAATCGGTGAGTTTGAAAAAATCATTATCATTAATACGAATTATTGATAATAAATGACATACTCTACTGATGATTGTATTCGTAGGGAGGTCTTCTTCGCCCTCATTAGGTGCATCAGATTTCCACACTTTAATCATTTTATCATCGCCAACAGTAATAAAGTGGTCAGCATCCGAGGAAAACGTAATTCCGCGAACGATTCCATCATGTGCTAGAATGGATCTCTCACAATTTCGTTGTGGTAAGTCCCATATTTTGATTTCACCATCGAAAGATGCACTGACAATGACAGAGAGACGACCAGGATGTTTACATACAGCTGAAACTCCATCCTTATGCCCTTCCAAATTACCAATAAAGGGTTTAGCAAATACTCGATCAAGTTTCACAGCATTCAGTGCTCGAGTGTACTCCCTCGCAGCTTCAAATGGATGGAGTGCTGGATCATAATTTCTTGGAACTGTTAATAATAAATAATAATTTTTTTCAATTCTCTTGTGACGTGACTCCGAACAGAGAAATCCTTGGAAACAACAGAACGATGGGATTTACCTCTGTGGATATCTCTTTTAGTCTCCCTGAGGTATTCATCAGGATTCCTCGTTAATATCTTCACCTTCATTCTGTACAATATTTATTTTTACCAATTACTGCACATATTTCACTATTTATCACGTGGGTCTCACAGAAATCTACTCCATAACCTACAAGAGTGAAGTTAATTATCTTCGTACTCTCCAGTGACTCCCCGAAATTCCCTAGATAGAAACTGAAGTATGAATGAATATATAATGAATGAATACAATAACGTATTTAATTTTCTCTATTTTTTGTTTACGAAAAAAATTCAAAGAGATATCAATATTATCAATAATCCATAGGAAACGAGATAATCGCATTTTTATAAATTGAAAAAAAAATTTCACCTATACCCTTCCCTATATATCCCAAGCACCCCCTTCACCGCACTGTTCAGCTATAAATCTTTCGTCTGAAATATCTCTAATTAATATAATTAATAAAATTAATATAATATAATTATATTATAAATTTAAAAAAAAGAATGAAAAAATTTTTTGGCGCCCTCCAAAGCCCCACTGTTTGATGTTGCCCTGGTTTTTGCGATTGTCGTAGTTACCGACAAGGCATCGCTTGAGATCAAGGTTCGGGTTGTGTCCGCGGAGTAGAAGGGCGTAAAGTCGCCAATCACGAAAAAATTCCCTCCATCCGGGCCATAACGTATATTATTTGTATTTTCTCGTGTCGATTGTTGCGTCATCCGCTCTTGCACCAGCGAATAATTCTTCAAATTTATATTTCAATCCCTCAAATAATTCGCAGTAAAAATCTACCATCTGCCTGAGACACTCTCCAAAATCCACAAACTCGTGGAGTAAAAATCAAAGTGAAGATAGAAGTTCTATAAATTCTGCGTTTTTCACATGGCAGACTCGTGTTTCGTCTTGAATTCACTCACTGTCAATTACAGGACAATTAACAGTATCCCAGAACAAAATTTGCACTGAGACAGAAGAAACTGAAGAAAAAGGTCAGTTAGTCATTGATAAGATTTCCACATTCTATTCGTCTAGCCACATCAAGCAGATGACGTGATAAATCTTCAAATTGCAGTATCAATCGCTCTGAAAACATTGACCTAGTCTATATCAGTGATTGATAATATGTATGATATCAGTAATGGTTCTGACTGCAAGTAATCTCCCTTTGTCGTATTGTTTTATCGAAAAATAGGAACTACGCATGTGAAGTGTAATCAAATAATTAACTACCGTCAACAGAGAATTAATACTATTCATTATATCACGTATTAGCTACGACTTTTATATCCACTTTTTGCAATCGAGTCATCCAGGGCAATCCCCAGCTGATTTTAATCGTGACAATTATTCTGCCCTAGAAGATGACTACATTAGTATGACCTTGGATAAATCAACAATTAAGATTGACAAATTCGTCGTAATTCTGACTGCAGAAAAATGCGGAATGTTTAGAAAAAGTTAATTATTGAAAGAGTCCGACATAAGGTCGTGTGCAATATAATCATCCTCTGGAGCAAGATAATTGTCGTAATTGAAACCTTGTCAGCATCTTCTTGGAATTACTGGATGAAAGAACAACTATTTTAAGAGCGTGAATGAATTCTTGTGATCTTGTCGAATTTTCGAACAACAATTACTTAAAAAGAATTTCGAATGATAGTATTTTTATTTAAAAAAGATTTACATAGTTTTTTAATTCCTTCAAATGCACAACTAGTCCATAAAATATCCAATGAAATAGAGTCCCAAGGAATTACGATAGATTTATAAAAAATAAAAACCACGGATATTATGAAATGAACAATTACATGAAAATGTTTCTCATTTATCTCATGTGCAATTTACAACTTGTGGTGCAATCATTATTATCATTACAGAATTTACAATGGCGCCCAAAAATAAAGAGAACTCCGCCTCAAACAAAAAGAAGACAAAAACCGCAGTGATAGAGTATGAAGACGACGACGAAGACTATCGCAGACGTAGAGATCGAAATAATCAGGCAGTGAAACGTTCCCGAGTTAAAAGTAAACTTCGAACTCAACAGACCCTGGAGCGAGTGAACCAACTCAAAACCGAGAACGAACTCCTGGAGGAAAAGATCAAAATGCTCACCAAGGAGTTGGGCTTCCTCAAGGATTTATTTCTAGCTCACGCAGGTAAATGCCGACCTGAGGATCAATAAGCTCCCCTTGTTCATTTGATTCAAGAATATTCGTCAATAACAGACTCACAAATAAAGGATTAGCTTAATAATTCATAAAAATTCTATTTCAGGCTCAAATCAACACACACTATCAATTCAAGACATAGACCTTAATGCTCTACTCGCTGATGACTCTAGTACTAGCCAAAAAAGTACAACGAGACTCTAAACACCATTTACTGCCACGATTTAAATTAATAAATCAGGCACGGCTGAATTATTGAGTCTCAACTTTGAAATTAAACGGTGAGCGGCCAATGTCGGACATCTTGGAACGATGCCAACACCGGAGCAATTTGCTTTGCGCTGCTCAAAAATTCAGAGCAACAAAACAAGATAGATAAAATGAGAATATCCTTATTTTCACCCCCCTCTCAGCAGTTGCAAACGCAAAAACATTCGAGAGGGGGGAAAATAACATCGTCATACACCCAACGAATGAACAGAGCCATTTGGAAATAACATTCCATAAAATAACAGCGAAAGAGGAAATGTGTGACTCAGTGTTGAGTCACTAGAGCGTTTGAAAAGTCATATCAAACATTAGAAAATGTACATACAATTATAAATTCATGGACAAGTAAAAATAATCGATTGATAAAAAATAATAGAAAAGGGAGTGAATCTTTCCTGAAATAAATCTTTCGTAAAAATCGAGTTAATCATTATTTTCTATAATTACATGATCAGGGATATAACAGTCCAAGGATGGGGACCTTGCAATTGCATTTATCCACACCTGTAATTGTTGAATTCCCGAAAAATGCCGATCGATCCTCGGTCCCTCAGTCACCTCAGTTTGTCGACAGTGGTCGGGTGAATTTCAGGGCCGTATCCCTTGGATTTTCCTGAATGAGAAAATTAAAGTCACGTGAGAAAGAGTGGACAGAGACTGGTGTGTCTGACGATGTCTAACGACATCCGACGATGTCAGACGACACCAAAGGCACCAGATATGAGTGGTAACCCGTTACTAGGGCATGGGGGAGGTTCGCCGAAGGAGTAAGTCAGGTGGATGTCCCAGTAGCTGATTTTTTCCCATTCTATTTATTATAATTACCATTTTTTTTTCGTCATTATCTCCGAATCTTTAGGGCCGAATCATTGCCGAAGCGTGAGTTGAACCGAGGGATTTTAAAAAATATATTTATCAGGAGTTGTGGGATTTTGCCAGTGGATCCAGTCACTGGACGTTCTGATACTCTGTCTTAGTAGAGGTAGAGGCCCTTGGCATGCGCATGACTCCAGACAATTGGAGCATTTCGAAATGTCAGTAATAGCCAACACTTAGCCAATGTACATACTGGGCACATGCTCGGGGTAAAAAAAATAAAAGCCACTGGTTCTTGGGCTTTCACCGATTTTCAGGAAATATGACTTCTTGGGTTTTTTTTTTGTAGCCGATTACTGGATCGATCGTCTGTAATTACGAAAAATTGATAAACGAGAAAATTGATTTCCCGATTTAATCCCGCGGAATTTTCCCGGAAATTTCAGGTTGATTCAGTAATTTTTAGAATAAAAATTTGCGGAACCAGCGCGTGGGGGCACATGCAAAAAATGTACACTATAAATAAAATCCTCGGCAATATAATCTTCATGTATACATATAATTAAATTTTTTATCTATATATATGATTTTTTTTAATTTGAAAAATTTTTCACATGCTTTTATGCATATATTAATTGTAATTATAAAACAATATTTTAAGTTGAATTGTGAGACGAAAAACGGTGACAACTTTCGTTTCATTAGGATTTTTAAAAAAGGTGACATTTGATCGGAGAATTCCGGAGCTCCTGTAATTTTTTATGAATTTCTGTCAATCCGGAAAACAGAAAAACCCGGGGTTCTCGATTAAACAAATCCAGCACTGAACGTCATAGCAGAGGGCTGCCGCGGTGGTGAACCATTGGTGGGTCCTAGCAGAGCGACGACATGTTGGCTACAGGGAGCACCTCGTCTCGGACGTTTCGTTTGCTCGTTACCTCGGGGTATATTGAGTGAGGGAGGTGGGTGAAGGGAAAAAAAAAGGAGAATAAAAAAAAAACTCTCTGCTTCCCCGTTTGAAGTGATAGGGGGACAAGAGGCTCTAATCAGCCATTCGTTGAGAATTTGTTAATTATTTATCTCTCGATTCAACCTGACAATTTTACCCTGAAAAATTCATGGACTCGTGTGGATCATCGAGTAATTCTACAAGTGAGGAAAACGAGTTTTTGGATTATTCGTGATACCCTCCAGTGATTACAGTCCAGGGGGATAGAGAAGGCTCGATTCTAGTGTGGGGGCGGATTTGTCTGTGAAAAAGTCCACCGATCAGTGTTGTGACATTAAAATAATTTTTATTTTCGATTTAACTGGAGTCACATCGGATTTTAATTTCCTTCTTTCAGTGATCTGGTCTCTGGTGGTTCCAATCGCACGGATGAACCTGGAGATGCTGCTCAGTTCGATTTAACATTCCATTAAAATTTTTTTATCAACAATAAAAAAAATACCAGTGAAGTTCGAGGAATAATTGCTGGCACGATGAGCTGCTAAATTGTTAAATTCGCAAATTACACGAAATTAATATCCAGATATATGTGAGTGCATTTGTGTGCGCGCGCGGGTTCCTCTATTATATATATACCATATATATGTAAACATATATGTATGTATAATCGAAACCAAACGAGGAAGCAAGAGGAAAAGGGGAAAAAAAAATGAAAATTCGCGTGGAGTAACCAGGAGAGCTCAACACCGGAGTAATATTGATAATAATAATAAGGAGAGGAATAAATAAAAAAATCGAGGGATTAATTCATGAAGAGGATCATTGATTTTGATACGAGGATGTGGATGAGACCAGGCACAGGGCAGACAGTTCAGAACTAGTGCAAAAAGTTTGTCATCATTTACTCCTCATATTCGACTAATTTTTTTTATCGCTAATTTTTTAATGACTCCTTTTTCTTTCGGCTGATCTGTCCCTGTCGTTCGGAGCTCGATCTGGCAGCAACAAGAACCGTCAGCCAATACGTGAAGCGATCTATTTTAACATTTCATCGTAAGTGACTTGGGGATTTTAGTGTACATGCCTTGTGAGGTGGGTGGTGGAGAGGTGTAAAGAAGCGACAACGAGGCGAGGTTCTATCTCTCGAAACACGCGCCTGTGTCATCGTTTTACCCAGTGGATTCAACTGTTGTGCCCTCCAGAGTATATCCCATTTTTGGAAGATTGAAACAAGAGGTTCAACCCTTGAAACAATTGTCCACTGTCAACGAGAAACAAGAAAGCGCCCAATAATTCATACACACCATCAATTTGGATGTCTCATCTGATAATCTTTTCCTGAAATTATTCCACGATTAATGGATAAATTGGCCTAGTCATCGATGTGCTGAGATTGGTCAATTACTGGTGCTCCAAACTTGTGGATTTAATCAGTCAAGCTGTTGGAAATCAATTTTCGGATAATTGTCTTGTGCTGTTGGCGGAGTCAACGCATCGTGGAGAGATCGTTGAATAATTAATAAGCACTATTCAAGGTCCATGTGGATTCTTGACAGATATGACACGAAACACGCCCCGATGTGAAGAGTAAAAGCCAAGGAAAGGCAAAGTTATTGTCGTTTGATATTTAAGTGTCAGCTTGAGGATATTGTCGATACTCTGCTGCTCCCTGGGTTCGATTAATCGGATCTTGGGTGCATGTGATTTTAATTTGCTGGTGATTTTGAAGAATCAATCGGGCGTGTAACGACACATTATAGCTGGCACTTCATTACCACTGCTGATTGTTACAATTTTCCTCTGTGGAAGTGGAGGAAAAACAGGAAAAAGGGGGTGTGGAGGGGCCGGGGGAGGAGGACGAGGAGGACGAAAAGGAGAAGGTGGCGAATTATAGGCGGCACGAGAAGAAGAGGGAACGTAAGAAAAAAAGACAAAAAGGTGGATATAATATTCATGAATAATGAGATATGGATTAATAATAGAGTCAGTGGGATTAAAATTAAAAATTCATTTAACGGAGACTCATTAATAACGATACAAGTGGCTGCTGGATACTGCTGGTACCATCATTGAAATCCCTTGATTTTGGATATAATAATAAATTGATAAAGTGCTGAGTTAACTGTTGGGGAAACAAAAACAGGGAAGAACAACAATTTGTTGTGTGGCTCGTATGTCATGGGGTGTTTCGGCAGCCAGAGCAGCAAGGCCAGCCAGGATGACAGCAAGACCCAGAAGAGGCGTTCAGACGCTATCACCAGACAGTTGCAGAAGGATAAGCAAGTCTATAGAGCAACGCACAGGCTTCTATTGCTCGGTGAGAATTATTAAAATTATGTGTTATGATATTTTAATGATAAAATCCAGGTAAGCTTTTTGCGCTTTTTCGAAATATCTCCGAAGCTGGGGATTATATCGATTTTTTTGGGAAGACTTCTTTTGAAGATCGGAGTGATCTCTACAAACAATATTTTAATGGACTTTTTGATATCTTGAATAGATTTCGAGATATTCTCGGAAAACTCAATGACGACCAAAGGACATTCATCCGTTTATCCATTCCTCGGACAAATGCGAATTGTTTAAAAAATTTTGGGGGGATAAATGAATTTCCCGTGCTTTTTCTGGAAAATTGTATCGTGCTGCAACTCCACTGAAAATTAATAGAGAACCAGAAAATGTCGGTCAATATATTTTAGAATTTTTAATACAGTGACAGAAAGAGGGATTTACGAGAAAAAATCCTGAATCCTAGATTTCTGAAAATTCAGATAAATTATAAAGTTCCCGTTTTATACATCCCAAAATTCTGGAGTTTCGCTGAATCTTCCGTTCGTATCACGTTCACTGTCCCCGTTCTAACAATCATCAGTCGATGGTCCATGAAATTTTCATATATTTTTTTTTAACAGTGTAAAAGTTGTTTGTTAGTGTTGGATATATCATGCAGCGTATAATGTGCAACTGGCAGAATGTCAGTATTTTCTATTTTTGAAAGTTTGCGTTAATACATCGTTCCAATTGGATCCAAGGGTTTCACATCTCATGCATAGACGATGATAGAAAAGACACTGATGTGTGGGCAACGAGGTAACAGCTGCCGACGACATTATTTCTCATACATAATTATGATTATGATGCAGTGACAAACACTAGTCATTATTTATCGTTATTAATAACCGTACGTTTCCTCAATAGCATTCACCCATCGTATTTCTTCGGTACTCCTCGTTATTTCAATCTACCATAATCTATTTATGGTAAAAATTTATCATAATTTGCCTTTCAGGGGCTGGTGAGTCCGGAAAAAGTACCATCGTGAAGCAAATGAGAATATTGCACGTCAACGGTTTCAGTGAAGCGTGAGTTGTTAAATCCATCTACAATTTCAATAAATTTTCCTATTGGTCTTATGCTCATGTTCTCCCCAGGGAGAAGCGCCAAAAAATCGAGGATATCAAGAAAAACATCCGGGATGCTATCTTGGTGAGTTTTCACATTAATATTCATCATTAATCCAATTATCTTTGACAACTGGTGAATTCATTGCAGACGATAACAACCGCTATGAACACGTTGACACCACCAGTGCAACTCGAGAATTCAGAAAATCAGAGCAAAGTTGACTATGTGCTGGATGTCTCGTCATCCCCTGATTTTGATTATCCACCGGTAAGTAATCGTAATTTATGAATATCTAAATCATTAACATGTGTATCTGATGCATGATAATCTGTGTTTGCATCATATTCCTTGATTACCGATTAGTTGGGCATCATTATCCCGAAAAGGATTGTTGGCTGGTTCACTCCAAAAATAAATGTTAAGTTATAAAAGTAGAAATACCTAATACATAGGATTTGACACAGTGTAGTGAAAGATCAGCCTTGTTGACTCGTCAAAAAGAAAAATCTTGAAATACATTCAACGGCAGGAAAATCATCACAGAGTGTACTATTTGCGCCACAAACTGTCGCAGATGCTAAAAATTGCGCTCACACACTTGTCCTTCTCCTCTTCCAATTCCATATTTTTCTTTCATCGGGTGATGACATTGAATGAGCTCAACTATTCGATGATGTTAATTCGGTATGGAGAAACCGTCGAATTTCTCTGTATCGCTTCGATAATCGAAGGACGAAGGCAACCGCTGTGGGAAAGTTCAATCGATTAATCGAACTAACGTTGAATCATGAGAATTTATTAATAAACTTGTGGTGAAGCGATTCGCGCTGGCGCGTTTTGTGGCCAGTTAGCCGACACGTTTTTATCTCTTGGATCAACATACTCGGAATACTGAAAAGAAAAAATCTTCAAGTCTCATGGTTTATGATTTTTTATTTTACAGGCATTCTACGGAATTGTCGAGACATTGTGGAAAGACCGAGGTGTTCAACAGAGCTTCGAGAGGAGCAACGAGTATCAGCTCATTGACTGCGCCAAATAGTGAGTTATTTTATTATTCAATTAATTTATTTTCTACATAATTAAGTCGAAGTGTAAATGGAGTTTTTTTGGAAATATCAATTTAATATTTCTCCCTCCATCCAGTGCAATTTACAAAAAAATCTGAAGCAATCAGTTCGCTCGAGTTTACAACTCAACTATTAATAAATAAATATTCTACTCAACGAAAAATATAGTTCTCATAATAATAACTGTTACATAATCAACTTTTCGTTATTCAAGAAAATGAAATTCGTCGACATCAACGAATTAGGCCTTTTCCATTCTCATTATTGTGATCATTATGAATCATCATGAATCCCTGCAACGAGGTGAAACTGATTTGCATTCCGCAAAATGAGAAATAGATAATGAAATGAAGAATATAAAAAAAAACGAGTTGCATGTTATCGCGTCGCACGACACGTTAGTATCCGCGATCGCGATAAAAAGGGTGATAACAAGAGAAGTTGTAAGGTGGTGTACGATAGTACTCTGTGTGAGATAAAAAAAAAATGGTGCATGCGTACTGATGGTATTTTATATGCATGCAAATCAATTAATGGAAGGCTCCATCAATGCTGAATTACTGAGCGACAAATTATGGTAAATTAAGATACGAAACGATTTATAAATCGGTCTCGAGTGATTTGAGAGCGACAATTTGGGACCAATAATTGAGATAATGCATCGCAATGAGGTAATCGTTTTGCATAATATGAACGAATGGATGAATTGACATCGTTGAAAAATGTTTTGATTACTAAAAATCAATTTCTACCTCATATCTGGTACTCATCGATCCGGTGAATTCACGTATTGTATTCACGTCGATTTACCAATCGTATTGGGATGTTTGTTGATGTTGAAGGGAGGAGTGATTGCAATTCGGTGGGAATTCGTATCTGAATAAGCAGAGTAACCCTATGTACTGGTTTTTTTTTTCTTGTAGTGCTTTCCCTCTTCTCATATTGTTCAACGCTTTAATTATACTAACGGTTAGACTATTTTTAGCATGAGTTATTCTCTCGTATAAACCCACGATAGTTGCGTTTCATAGTGCGTTCTCCGTGTGTTTGTAAACACGTGTATGCACTGATTACGTGTGAGGGACAATGAGAGGAAAAAAATTATGTGTATATTATCTTTTTTTTTTTTAAATTGAGTCCATTTGTCTGGGATTAGTGCAGAATTAGCTTCTGGCGGGGTTATTATTATCTCGGAGTTTGTTAATTTTTTTAGGGAAATTATTTCGGGATTTGTTGGTCGGGTGATGGCTGGAGCTCGGTATTCGAAATTTTCATCAATTTCCGATAAGCTTTAGGCACAAACTGGCGTTTATGCGCCACCGATCTCTCACGATTGTCGCTGTATCCACTATGAAAACAGAGGTTGCTTTTATAAATAGCAATAGATATTTTTAGGGGGCATCGAATATGTTGGTTGAAAAAATTTTGTGTGGTTACATGTATGGAATTTAAATTGTCACCTGTCGGCTTTCTCTCGGGGCACTTGTCATTTTCAAATTCTGTCAATTTTTTCATTGCATTTGTTGTCCCATTATCATTTTTGAATCTTCAAAAATCTAGAGAAATATAAAATATTTTTCAAATATTACACCGTCACAAAATAATTCCTGAAATTTCAAATAAATAATCAAAAATTTCTTAACAAGCACAAATTGAAATTCTTGTAATGATTAATTTTTCAAATTATCATGATAAATTCATTATCAATTATTCATAATGAAATGCTTGATTGTGAGGGATTCCAGTTGAAATTAAATTTAATTAATCCAATTGAAGTTCAGAATATTGAGAATGTGATGTCACATGAATTTTCAAAAATTTGTGTAATTTTTATTCAGCAGTTTTTGATAGGTAGGGGATGTTCGGGAGGTTGAGGGCGTCGTCCCCTTGTGATTTTGCCTAGCCAGCGAAAGTAATGGTGGTATGGTGTAACGAGGTTCGGGGGTTAGGGTAGAACACCCCGTTGGTGGTGCCGCAGCCCTCTCGCCATGCTCACCACCGATCGATTTACCTCCTCGCTTTCCTCCCATTCCACCCCCTTCTACAATTTTATCCTCCTGCCTCCCTGGCTTCATGACACTTTTTCGACTTTACTATTTCCCCTGATTATCCACCGTAAATTAATTAATTTCCCTTAAAAATCAATTGATTGCAAAAATTACTCTTTATTTTTTCCATTCGATCTCAACCCATAGCACGATTATATTGTTATCACTATTTTATTTGTCTATGATGGTAATGATGATATTAATTAGTGAATTTTGCGAATTGTGGATTTAATAAGATTCTTCATTTTTGTTTCAGTTTTCTAGATAAAGTTGCCATCGTCAAACAGCCCGATTACACGCCAACTGAACAGGTAAATTCTCTCCACTTATCTCCTGTTGAATTTGGCTCTTTCAATCAATCCGTAATCTGAATTATATTTTTTTCCTGCTGCAGGATATTCTAAGGTGTCGAGTTCTCACGTCGGGCATCTTCGAGACTCGATTTCAAGTTGACAAGGTCAACTTTCAGTAAGTTATCTTGAAATTATTTCAATGAATCGACAAAAAATCCCAGAATAATTGAATTCACAGTCATAAATGGCCTGAATTAATTATCGGCCGCGGTTTTTTAAAATTATATCCTTCATGAGGAAATGGCAATGAATAAATATCTGTAATGACGAGAATTCTGAAAGAATCAGATGAAGAATTTTTTAATGATTTCAGTATGTTCGACGTTGGGGGCCAGAGAGATGAAAGGAGGAAATGGATACAGTGTTTCAATGACGTGACTGCAATAATATTCGTTACTGCTTGCAGTAGTTACAACATGGTGCTCAGGGAAGATCCAACAAAGTTGAGACTCCGAGAGAGTCTTGATTTATTCAAAAGTATTTGGAATAATAGGTAAACCTGATAACTGATAACTCCATATTTTATTGTTACCGGATTATTTTCATTAAACAATTTACTCTTCACTTGCCAGGTGGTTACGTACAATATCTGTAATCTTGTTCTTGAATAAACAAGATCTCTTAGCTGAAAAAGTTAAGGCAGGTAAGCACAAATTGGAGGACTACTTTCCAGAATTTTCACGATACCAAACTCCAGTTGAACCCGGTGTCGTAGCAGATCCTTCAGAACCTGCAGAAGTTATAAGAGCTAAATATTTCATCAGAGATGAATTTCTTGTGAGTACCCCTTTAATTTATTTAACTGCAGGTAACGGTTGTAGTTAAATTCTGAATGTTGTGGAGTTTGATGTTTGAGATGATGTAGCTGATGCTTGATTTTCGTAATTTTTCAGGCTTTTTTTCAATTAAAATTTCCTATCGTTTCACCCTGACACCTTAAATGATTCATTGATATTTCACAGCGTATCAGTACAGCTAGTGGAGATGGGAAACACTACTGCTATCCACATTTTACCTGTGCAGTTGACACAGAAAACATCAAGAGAGTATTCAATGACTGTCGTGACATAATTCAACGTATGCATCTGCGGCAATACGAACTCTTGTGACTTGGTTTCTACCATTGCCTAGTATTGTCTGTCCAAAAATTATTATTTACCTCTCCTCCATTTACAAAACACCAATTGTGTAAACAATTATATACTCATCCACGAACAAGTTAAGACAAAAAAAACGTGCAGAAAAATGGAGATGAATCGATCAATTTGCTCGAATAATAAACCTAGAGAAAAATGAATGAATGAATAAAAATAACATCAAAATAAGTTGCCTCCGACGTGGAAAAAGCTTTACCAAATCAAATAGCAGAAGGAACAAATTAACGCCTTGATTGGCCACTTGGGACTTATTTCCTCAAAATAGGTCGGAATTAATTGTTCAAATTATCAACAACATCCCTTCCCTTCCTATCTACCTAGCCCCTGCCACCAAATAACAATTTTATTATATTTACACTATTCTTTCCAATGTCACTCGACGCACTGTGATCCGTTACCTCGAATCTTATTTTTCTTTTCTTTTTCTTTCAAATTTTATTGTTTATATGAGATCTGATGATACCGGAAAGTAACAGAAGAGTAACATAAACGATCTGTCAAATTATTAATTTCTCGAAGCACACGAATCTCTTGGAACATTGCAACATCCTGAACATTGTGATTTTGCCAATTTATATTTTTTTATCACGCATGTCCAACAGCACCAAACATCCCTACTGTTAAACAACAAAAAAAAGAACAAGTATTTTTTCGTTTTTCTTTTTTCGTTTTTTTCTCTTCATTTTTTGTGAGATTTTACAGTATTTCGAGGTTTTATTTCTCATTATACAATGTATGTATGTATGTATTGACTATGTACAGAGGGCGTCAATCTGATTCGGAGTTGTTTTTAAATAATTTATTTATCATTTAGTAAATATACCTCAGGCATTAATTCTCTACTCCCACCTCTCCCCACCATCAAACGAGAGTGATTGATACCGGAAAAAAGGAAAACGAGGGGAAAAAAAAAACATTTTTTTACACATTCACTCTCACTTTCGCAATCGTTCTATGAGCGCAATTCACATCAATTTGTAATTGTATACACAATCTCAAGAGTGAATAAAAGATTGTTCTTGGAGAGTAAAAATAAAATTACGTAGAAAACATTCGACTCCTCCGAGACAAAAATTAAAAAAAAAAAGATATATATGTATAATAAAGAGAGGAAACAAATTCTATCTATATACGGTGTGAACATGTGTGTGCAGTTGCGTACCTGTACGTGAAGAATGAAAGGTGCATTCTAAATCATTCATTGATAATTAAGTGAATATTTAAATGATAATAAAATGTACGTAGCAGGCAGAAAGAGGTGGAAAGAGGGCTGATGCGAAATGGATTGTCGATGCAACCGATGATTTTAAATAGTGCAACGTCAAATTTGTTTTTATACGTACGGAGAGTGTTTTATCATTGAAAAAAAACTCGGTATTAGTCATGTGTAAATTGAATAACAAAGTTACAATAAGAGTTGTGGACGTTAGTCATACGATGATGAATTATGGTGAAAAATTGATGTTTTTTTTATTAGAGAGCCCTTCCCATTGGAATAGAATGCAATGGAGTGTGTACGTATTTTGCGCACACGAAAAAATTTAAAAGAAAATTATAAAAAAAAAAGCAAAAAAAAAGAAAACAAAATAGGGAATCATATTTATGTGTCTGTATCTATATCTCAATACTTGTCTTGCGAGGATGCCACACAGACTTTTTTTTTCGAATTATCTTGTTTTATTTATTGTTAATTGATTATTTAAGGAAAATTTGCGAGTTTTAAATAAAAAATGGTCAAATAAAATGGCAAAAACGTGAAGTAACGCGCATTTTTGAATAACAACGGATAAATCAGGGTGAAAATGGAAATTCAATATATCATATATCAATGTATTATATTATTTTTGGCACAAAAGAATATATATTAATATATATGAAGCGTGAAATGCGTGAGTTTCACGTTTCGTTTTTAATTCTGAGTTGACCTTTTTCCTTTTTATCAGAGGTCTGTGCGGTGTCGTACCGGCTCATATATATAGTAATATCAATTATATAAAACAAAAAAAAAAACAAAACTACCATACAATTAATATAGTAACCATAGACATGTTAATGGTCGTATGACTCGATTAACTTTATCGTCGATGCCATTGTTAACGAAGGTGAAAAGAAAAATACAAAAAAGATCGGTAATTATTATAATAGAAGTAATAATACAAGTGAGAATCTAAGTACGAGTAAAGCAAGTGCAGAAGAGAAAATAGTGTAAGGGATGATGGAGGAAGGGGCACCATAAGTGATGATTGACATTGTCGAATTTCTATATTTTAGGTCCATCGCACAATATTTTGATTTTGCCTCGAAGAGAGAATACGAATGACCAATGTTCACTCAGAGAAGAGAAAAGGGATATATTTTCCCTTTGTTCCTTTTACTGTTGTCTTTATAGTTTTTTCTCTTGCTTATTTTCTTTTTCAATTTCTATCATTGAAATGAGTATACGTAATACGATAATACAAATGTCCGATGGTTTGAACGTGTACGAGAAATAATTGCGTGAGAGTCCCTTCTCAAGGTCCGTTCTTAGTTCCAATTGTTCCAAACATTGAGGAATATGTAAATAATCGATGAGAATTCGTCTTTTTGGGATGATGAGGAAAAAAAAATGCCACGAGGGCCGAATAATGAGTAGAAAAGAATAATTAATTGACATTAGTTGAATAAATAAAATGAAATTAATAACTTATCCGTCTGCGGTTATCGTCAATGTACCATAGATGGAAAGTGTTTTTTCCTAGTAAATGAAAATTTCTTGTTGTTGTTACTGTTCATATTCATTATTTTTATCATATGTTGATGCTTAATATATCTCTTGGTAAAAAAAAAACGCCATTGAACCTTCCAGAGTATTATGAAATTGCTGTGTGCAGCCTCCAACTCGTTCTCGTGGTCAAGCCCTCGATGATACATTATCATTCTTCAAAAGCTCTCGGTGGAAGAATATCGCTTATTATTTTTAATGAAATATGAGAATGAATAATAAGAGCGTTTACATCTCATCAGTGAAAGTAAATTGTCTATGTGCGTAGTTCGTCCTTCCGTATTTTGGTATTATATTTTAATTGTAAGTACTGTCCCCTTTCATGTATATATCTATTACGTACACGTATGTATAAATATATTTAACAAAAGGAAAATATATATTGAACAAAAAGGACTAAATTTTTTACAACTTCACCAATGACAAGCTTTACTATTTAGTCGTCAATTGAATTTAGATTTATTTCGTGTTTTTTTTTTTCATTCATTACTCTGAAATGATTGATGATTTATTGAAAATTTATGGATATCAATGTTGAAAGTAAAGTTTGGATCATCGAAATTGGGACTATGCACGGACAACAAAGTGGATTCATATTGAGAGATTGAAAATATGTATATGTGTACTGGAAGTATTGGAAATATATATAATGGAAGAGATTAATTTTAGGATTTTAATTTGTTTATGTGTAAATGGATGAAGTCATTGAATATCATGTCAAAACAGATGTGCAGCGTCGAACGTTGATCGAAATTATCGGAATTATATGGATAAATAAAGTAAGATAAAGAGAGGATAAATAATTCAAGTCTGTGATTGCAATCAAAACTTGAATGTCTTGTAAACGTGTCCCATGTGCATTTACCACAGAAACAAAAAGAAAAACGAATAAATGATAAATTAGTCGATTGTGCAGTGTCTACTTCAATCCAGGGAAAATGACAGTAATGCAGATGAAAATATTATTCTACGGGTGTCTATTAGCCGTACAATCAAATAATTCATTGCACTATTATAATTTGCGATATCACAACCAGGAGAAATAGACCAATTAACAGGATACAATATTAGATTTAACAGAGATTTTAAAACTCCATCAAGAGAAAGAAAAAAAAAATATTATGTAACAATAACGTACACCATATTTTTGCGCATGAATATCAGTGGGGAAAATTCACCTCCACCCAAATGATGATCATTATATTTATTCATTCATCAATTTGAGAAGAAAAAACAACTATCGTCAAATCTATTTATCAGTGCAGGCTAAAGTGAATGTGACAGTAGTAATCGCCTTTTTTTCCAAATCTCATTACATGATAAATACTTTAATAAACCCAGTGTAAACTATGATAACAATCATTGGAGGCGAGAACAATCTTGACGAATCAATTTAACTGATTAATGAGTATTTAATATATCAGTCGGATCCGGCGATTTAGAGAGATGAAAGTCAGTGATAATTCATTGCTTGAATCAATTATTCTTTGCATTTCCCTTTTCATCAATTCAAAAATAGGGATGACATTTTTTGTTGCACGTATTTCCTAAATTTAGAAGTAGCAAAATTTTGAGAGAACAATTGTGTGAGTCAGTGGAAGAGAATTAATCAACAAAATAAATGATAAGGTGAGAAAATCTTCATTCGATGTAAAGTAAAAGACAAAAAATGACAAAAAAAAAGATAAAATAAAATAATAATCATTCCACCAATGAGGAGGAAACTGGATGGAGCCGCTGTCAATACAAGAAAAATAAATAATTCCATAATTAATGATGGAAATCCTAGTCCTTTGCGGTCTCTACGATATCTGATCGCACATTGATGGATCTCGACAGTCTTCTGACGCTAAATGATCACTTCAATTCAGTGGAGGAACAATTAAAAATGTGTGATCGCTTCACAGGTGTCATGATTCCGTCAGAATGAAAAAAAAAAAAAGAAAGAGAAAAGAAAAATAGAGCTGGTGTCACAAAACAAAAAAAAATGACACCAATAATCTGATTGATCCAATAAATACAAGAGAGGTTCATCGATTTATTGAACCAATCAGCCAATTCAAATAAAAATGAGGAAAAATATAAATAATAATAAAATAAACATAATTTCATTCTTATTCTGTGATGACTGTTCGAATAACTATAATATAGAAATTGAAAAAATATGAAGAATTTGAATACTATTCGTTTCGATGTACACAATTACACTAAAAAAAATAATAACAATAATAATAATTGAGAAATAAGTTGAGTACTATTTTTTTTCAATTCTATTGCTTTATTACATTCTACTCCGATTTTTTCAATTTTATTGATTACATCGACTGAAACTTACGAATGCGATTTTTTTTATTTTAATTGGTAACAAAATCTATCAATAAATTTTGTCAATGAATAGAGATTCAAAATTTTAAGAGACCAACAGGTGTCTTCTCACATAAGTTATTTGAGCCTTAGACTCAAGTGCAGCGAGATCCTTCACAACTGGTGCCATTTGTTCCACATGATTTTTATAATTACTTCCAGTATTAATTCTCTTTTGTCCATAAATGACTTTTCCGTCGAATTCATTCATTGGTACCTTGAGATCAGGCCCAATCTGTTGAATAGTTATATTCAAATGATCCTCGATGTCAGCAAGAAATTGCGGTTCATTATACCAAATGCAACATCCACCTTGATTGGTTAAATTAGTGTTATTGCAGTTTCGTCCTCTGGATGAGCACCATTCTCCATGATACCATACCTTTTCCGGAACACTGCTCACTAGAGAGATGGCTAGGCCCATCCTCTCAGCCCTTCCCACTCTCCCAATTCGATGAACATAATTAGACTTCTCATCTGGTAGAGTTACATTAATTGCGAAAGGCAGACCTGTGATGTCGAGGCCTCTAGCTGCCACATCAGTGCAAATCAAAAATTTCACCTCTTGCCTCTTGAACTTCTCAAGGTTTGCCCTGCGCTCCTGGGGTTTTCGATCTCCATGAAGACAAACACAGGAGAACTCGTTGGATCCATATTGTCTGAGGTACCTCTCGAGATTATCGCAGTCGATTTTAGTTCGACAGAAAATAATTGCCCTATCCATTTTGTGTTCCTTGATTGCTCGAATGCAATATTCACCTTTGAGAATTTTTACACCTTCCGAGAGGGCCTCAGCAGTATTGGGTTTTCCTTTGATGTTGTCTCTGCAGTGGATTCCATCTGTCTCGATGTAGCGAGACAAATTCTTCCAGGATGGATCCTTCTGGGGATCAACACTCACCACGACGTGATGAACACTCTCAGGAACAGCATCCTCACCTTTCAAATCCACCCAAGTTGGAAAGTGCATTAGTCTCTCCGCCATTTTTTTAACTTCAAACGCATGTAATGTCGCCGAGCACACGATCATCTGGAGTCTCTTTCCATCAGCTGTTATCTTCGGTATCTGACGATGGAGACGATCTATTAATTCTGTGTAGCCTTGTTTCAAGAGTGCATCAGCCTCGTCAAGGACAAAAAATCTGCAATGTGTAAGCGATAAATATCCTCCTTGAATGAGATCCTCCAGACGACCTGGAGTTCCAACGACAATATCAATTCCAGAATTGAGCGCCGAAATTTGTTCCTTAGCAGCGACTCCACCGATCACCAATAACTGTTTGATCGATGGATTTTTTAAATGAATCCTGAATTTTTCCAGTTGATTATAAGTCTGCTCCGCAAGCTCTCTCGAAGGTTCAATAATAATAGCCTGTGGTGCATTACCCGGTGGTTTCTTCATCTCCTGATTTCCAGCTCCACTGGATCCAATTTCATTCTCCCTGAGGCAATTCTTCGGAACAGAAGCAACAGCTGTGAATCCAGCTGGTGGTGGATGCTTGAAAGGTTCATTGCCAAAGTTAAAAGACATCTCAGCATTCTTCAAAACCACAGCCGGAAAGAAAATCTGTGATCTCTGCTGAGAATTGAGGTCAAACGCTTTTCCAAGGTCCACACCATTCTTGGTGAACCTTATTTCACCCTTGGAGAGATCCAGAAGGCAACCGATGACGTCGTGCATACCAAAGGATTCCCCATAGCTGTCAAACTGCTTGGAGTTTGATTTTTTTCCAGTGCCTCCAAATCCCCATCCAAATTTATCAGTTCCCAGATCTAAATTCGCTTGGGACGTTGACCAACCGACTCGGCAAAGGCCCTCATCAGTGACTACAGTCTCAAAATAATATTTTCCCTCCCCCTGAACGCCTTTATTTGCTCTGCATCCGTGCCATTCTCGTTGTTCTCGACTCTGACAACGCAATCCATCAGGGGCCACAGCCATTGCTCGTCCTCTATCGAAGAGACTCAGACTCCAGGGGCCAGAAATCACTCGTTTCTCAGATTTTCCAGTTGTTTTCCCAGTCTCCAGATCCTTCAAAGTCTCCCAAACAGTCTGGAGGATGGGCAGGCAAAATGCTCCAGTCTTACCACTGCCCGTCTCTGCTGCCATCAGGACATCACCTCCACCCAGGATCAGGGGGATTGCCTCTGCCTGGACGTCCGTTGGAAGAGTCCATTCAATATTATCGATTGCTCTTGCAATTTCAGGTAAAACACCCATTTCTGGAAATAAGTCGAGTTATCAAAAAATTTTATATTCATAACGGAGAAAGTATTTTCGAAATTATGAAACCGCTGATTTACATCAATCCATTAAATTTGAGAAAGATTCAAAAATTGAATGCCTCCAACGAGAACAGATTAAAATAAATAAATAGATATAACCAATAAAATCAAGCTGAAATGATAGAAAAACCGGCAAGAGTAAAAATGAATTAAAATGTCAATTGTCAAATTGAGATGAATCTGAAAAATCAGCTGATACGAAAATTTGAGTGACTGGTGTACGAACCTTCAAAGGCTGTCATTTTGAGTTTATGTTCGACCTAGACGATCCAGAAACATCAAAAACTACCCGGCATATATGATATATATGGTATATATGATATATATACACAGGGATGGTATATAATCAGAGATATTGTGATATACTCTCAGAATATCAGGCAATTGCCTGCATCAGCGCCATTTTCTCAGAACTACTAACCGACAAATACTCTGAAAACCGACTATAAAAAAAGGCAGTGTCGTCGCCACTGAAGAACACACAACTGTATACAACTTTTCTCCGAGAAATAAAAGGATCCACAGCCGAGAATAAGTGAAAAAAGTGATTTTTTTGAAAGAAAAAGAATTTGTGTGCGAATCGAGAGTTCAAATCCAGGCTCAACGTTGATTAAAATCAGTAATTTGTCGTGGCATCGGTACCTAGAGTTAGGACCGAGAGCCACTCTTTTTGGAGGGCCATGGCGGGTTTGAAGGATGAGGATAAAGCCCTCTTCCCCGTACGAAGTATATCATCGATTGTACAAATATTTGAGAAACAATTGTCCAATAATAATATCGAGCCTGATCTGGCATTGCTATCGATACTCGTTGGTGCTGTTGAGAATTCATTAACCTGCAATCGTACTATTGCGTCGCAGGAGAGTACTGTTTACGACGAGCCAAAACTTCCAGCAGTTGAGTTCAACATCGCTGAGACACTCTACTCAAAATTCCACGCTATCGTCAAAGGGGCTGTTGATTTGTCAATTCACGAGGAGAAATACGCAACTAGAGAATTAGTTAAGAGAGTGTCTGATGTCATATGGAACTCGTTAACCAGGAGTTATTACAAGGACAGAGCACATCTTCAGAGTCTCTACAGTTATTTAACAGCTAATAAATTGGATTGTTTTGGTGTTGCTTTTGCTGTTGTGGCTGGATGCCAGGTGTTGGGTTTCAATGATGTACATTTGGCGATGTCTGAGGATCATGCCTGGGTGGTTTGTGGTGAAAATGGAGATGAGACTGTCGAGGTTACCTGGCATGGTAAGGGTAATGAGGATAAACGTGGACAGCCTGTGGAGGCAGGAATAGCCTCTCGTTCCTGGTTGTATGTTAATGGTAACGCTGTTGTATGCAACAGAGCGATGGAAGTTGCAACTATAGTATCAGCAATAAATCCTAGTCTGAGTGCAACAGCAGATGCTGCCGAAGTGGCACTTCTGCAGCAGGAACTTTTGTGGTTGTTGTACGACTTGGGACATTTGGCAAAATATCCAATGGCTTTGGGTAATCTCGGTGACTTGGAAGAGGCTGCACCAACGCCTGGGAGACCTCCAGCTATTGTTCTTTTTCAGGAGGCAATACGATCTGCAAGAAAGTATTACGGCAATGCTCATGTTTATCCTTATACTTATCAGGGTGGTTATCTCTATCGACATGGACTTCATGCAAATGCACTTGCCTCGTGGGCTGATGCTGCTGACGTACTGAGAAAGTGAGTGAATCATTCATTTGTTGATTTATGAATATATATATAATACGATTTAACGAGATATTTAACGATTAATACTATTTTTCAGGTACGATTATTCTCGAGACGACGGAGAAATTTACAAAGAATTACTGGAAATAGCGAATGAATTAATTCCTCATACAGTTCGAGCTGACGAGCGTCTCCTGCGTCAGCCTCGATGTTTCGCGTACCTTTTGCGTTTTTACGACGGAATTTGCCAGTGGGAAGAGGGTGCAAACACTCCAGTACTCCATATTGGCTGGGCCAGACCCCTGGTTAACACAATATCAAAGTTCGATGCATGTATCAGAGCTCAGGTAATCATCGAGTGTCATGAGACCGAATTACAAATGAATTTTGTGCACGATGATGAGAATCATCATACGAGAGAGTCTCGCAGGGATTCCAATTTGGATGAAGGCAATCATCACAACAATGATAATCACATGAACAACAACAATAACAATACTACAACTAGCAATAACAATAATAATAATAATTATTGTAAGACGAAGGAGAGGTCGAGTGCAGCGAGGGATTTGATTGCGAGTTTAGAATCAAAAGTTCAGTCGACGAATCCTGCACCGATGCATCCGGGCATTCAGGCGTTGACAGCTGCATGTAGTGAAAAAATACTTAACAGGGATTATCTGCTCCAGGGCGATGGAGAGCCTTTTGTTGCACCTCAGGAGACTTCATTACCTCCAACTCCATCGACATCTCAGGAAACACTAGATCCTGAAGTTGAAGAGGACTCGGAGAACGAAAACCCCAGGATAACTCTGTATAGTGAAAAAATGAAGGGTCTTAAAGATTTATTACTTGCTGAGAAATTAAATACACATGCAATTTCTCTGCAATTGACAGCGCAGAGTCAAGTGCAAATTGGGAAGAAAACCAGAGGCAATGATGATCTTGGTGTTCATCAGCGACCCAAGAGGACACGTCGCGAATAATATATTCGACAGGGTATTTATTATTGTCTATCTCACTTTTATCGTAGCAAAGTGGTCGGGAACAGGAGACAAATACGAGAGAAGTAATAGACCGAGTCACTGTTTTGTGAACATCTCTCGATTTGTTTTCCTTTCACTTTAGAAATCACGGATTTAAGTTTCCATCGGTTTTATGGTTATTTCTCAAGTTTCTGGGAGATCCCCAGAAATTGAGAAACGAGACTACAAAATATTCAATTCATTTCATGAATAGCATTTTTTTTTCGCAGAAGTTCAATTGATTGATTTTTGCGTTTCCCGAGGAATTTCTCGAGATCTCTTTAATTCTCCGGTTCTGGACCACTCGATTGCTATTTTTATTTCGACTTGGCATCACTTCTGAGGGACTTTGTCTCTATGAATTTTCATTTTGGTGCTCATATCTCCTGTGACGACAGAAAACTTGCTTCCGCTATTTTGCCAGCCAGTATATAAAGAAAAAAGAAATAATCTCTATGATTTATTTAGGTACGGGAACAACGCTTAGCTGTTTGTTAGATATTAATCGTGTGTAGAAAAGTACAAAACAAATTTCTCTTACTTTCGTTTTAATTAGTCATTTAATGAGATGTAAAAAAGAAAATATGAGAAGGAGTTAGTTGGTGAAACTGAGATTTATTTTTATTGGGTATATTTATTGATGGAGAAAGAGCGATTCTATCAACGTCAAAATGTTTCTCTGATGATACCTTTTTAATAACTTATTTATTGAAGGAGAACAAAAAAAAAATTAATTTATGAATAAGGTAGTGAGATTGTTTTTTACATTCCGTTCCAATCATCAACTCGCGATAAACGTGAGTGTTTCTTAGATTATAAACACCTTTCTTTCGATGAATTACGCGCATTGGAGGCTACTCTCTTTAATATTCGTCTATTTATTCTGTAATTTATTTCTCGCACTTCGCTACTTAAATAATTCAGTTACAATACTGTTTCCGCCGAATCTCGTGTATCAAACAACATCGCATTTCTTTTAATTTTTCCTCAAATTAAATTGAATCCCTCCCAAAATTCAGTTGGGAAAAAACTGAAATTGATTTTAAAAAAATGAATTGGTTGTAAGTGGATTGTTGTAGAATAACTGTTGACAGAAACCGAGGTGGGAGCTCATTTCCATACTGACAAAAAAAAAATCTACAGAGATCACACCTCAGTGAAATAAGAAATATTATGATAATTAATTCACGATTGAAGTGAATTAATTAAATGCGTTAATGGCGCTATCTTGCTGTGATGCTGTTATACTGTACGATAGTACTATTGATATGACTGAGATGTTGAGAGGCGCAGCCCGAGATAAAGGAAGTAAAAGGAAAAAAAGCAAAAGAAGTAAAGAATGTAAGTTGCTATAAATTGATGAATAAAGTTAATGAAGATTGTTTGAAAAAAAAACATCACATAATTGATTACCTCATGTTGATAATGGGTTACTCTTCCAATTGATAAACGCGTGTACCAATATTCGTATTGACTGTATGGATCTGTTTGAACTGATAACTACCATTTTCAGTATTTAGAATGATTTATGAGCATTGAAATAATGAGTAACATATGAAACGTACAGGGAAAAATATTTTTATATTGGTAAGAATTGTTGTAATTCCTATGATTGCTTCAAAGTACGTGTGATATCTGGTGTAGCAGTTTTATTTTTCATCAATTTTCATTATTGAATTTTGTGAGCATTCACTGCATTTTCAGTTACATTGAAATTATTATTCTCCCAATTAATGAATATTGAAAATTAATATGAAAATTAATTATAATTGTCGCCCAAAATGACTCACCGATAATTGTTTACTTGAAGCATTATCAATATAAATTAAGACAAGTCTATATGTTGAAGAATCTCTTGTTAACAATCATCACTTGACTGTCAAATTGATTTCCCGATATTCCGATAATTGCAACTGAAAAGATATCACTGTGAAATGTGCGTGCCATAATGAATCATTGGCACAAATTAAAATAATAATTCTTTCTTTAACAGAATTTGAATCGACTCTTCCTATTATCTTCCGTTCAATTATGAACAATAAGATCTTAACTTTTGATGTTAAATAAATAATTGGAGAATGAACACGAAGCAATGAATAGCGATAACAAGCACAATAAACTCATTGAAATTAAACATTTGTCGGTACTTAGATGAAAAATATAGAAATATATTCAGAAACTAATTCATTTGTGATATACTCGACCGATTATACAGTGCGTATAATTTGGCAGTAAATAATAATGCGAGAATAGAGAACTCAGCGTCATGTGTAACCATTAATTCAATCAAGATCTTACTATATGGCATTATATGTTTACGAATTATCACTATTATGTAACATCTGGTGGTTGATTACTCGAGTTAATGGAATATCTACAAGTCTGGACAGGAATTTGAAAGAATATGTTGCAATTGTACAATAATGAAACACTCATCGAAGCTACGTAATGCAGGATTAATTAATCAAAAAATGTTTTATTGAAAAATATCAGTAGTGTTTTTCTTATTACGCTTTTGCAGTGCATCCACCCACTCACACTGGAATTAAAAAATTACAGTTTATAATTTATATTGTCACTTAACGACAGTAAAGGCATTAATTGAAGAAAAATATACAGATATCTGTTTCAATTTTTTTTCTCTTTGTGAATTGTAATAAACTATTTTATTATTCTAATGTGTGAAATACAATTATTTCATCCACGTTTTGTTTTTTTTTTCGTTTCACTTTAAATTCATCAAAAAAAAAAAAATAACTTTTAGTCAACAAGTAATGAAAAAATATACCTTTTATTACCTAAATGCTAATTAATATTAATAGAATATAAAGCATTATTACCGTCAAAGTTCACAGTGTGTATAAATTAACAATGTTTTATTAATTAATCAATTACTTCTTAAATATTCTATAAATATTTGGTCGGTTCATAGCGCACGTGTCCACAATTTTCTCTCCGTTATTTTGCTCTCTTTTCGTTTTGTATCCTAGAACTTTTAATTAATGCAATATTATGTGATTTGAATAACTTCTACAACGATAAACGTATGAAAGTTAATACTGCAAAATGTACGAAGTGCAAACTCGTTGGTAATTAAAAAATATATATAATAAAAAAGTTTGGTTGTAATAAGGAAAAACGTAATAACAATTTTCGATGGAAAGATTAATCTGGAATCAAGAATTTCCCTTTTCTTTCCGTTGAAAAATCTCAACTAACACAATAATAATAATAATAATTAATAAAAAAAAAATGGAGATGAAAATGAAACTGAAATTATTCCTCTCGATCAGAGAATACCATTGAAATATTCTTGACTCCACAATTGAAATTTCCGTGATTGATTCAATTACAACGTAAAAATGAAAATGTTTACTCTAAGTATACAATTAATGAAAGTACAACAAAAAAAAACAAAGATATTATTGATGATCGATAGTCTGGAAGAACCACTCAGTAAATCTCCTCAACTGCTGGGCAGCTGCATGATTCTCGTCTTGCAGTCGTCTATTCTCATCTCTCAATTTCCTGACTTCCTCCTCGAGCGATAATCTCCTCCTCGTTTCCCTCGCAACCCTGAGTTCAAGATTAGTCAAATGACTCTGTAAATCCGTGACACAAGTTCTACTCTCATAAACACTCTCCTCATTACAATGGGACTGATTGTCATCACCATTATCCGGCGCAGTGCCAGCAAGATTAGACACTTTCAACGGAAACAGAGTCTTAGTAACCCTCGGTGACAATCTCTCCTCCTTTGATAATTTATTCTCACTGGGAGCTGGACTTGAATTTGTACTTGTATTAGAAATAACAGTAGCTGGCCTCGCCATTGTTAAAATAACTTCTGAGCCACCTGAATTTTCTTGACGATTTGATGTAGATAAGACACTCAACGTCGTAGCACTTGTGCCACACAGATTTTCCCTCGATCTACACCTATTCTGTATCTCCAATTTGTTACAACTCTCATTTTTATTCTCTCGATTCTCCATGACCTTATCAATATTGTTAATACCAGGCTCATTATTATTACAACTCGTTCCATTCTCCTTGACATTAACATTATTATTTTTCACTTGAGAATTATCATCGCCAATATAATCTGGATTAATAAGTTTCATCAAATCTTCCTGGAGAGTGCTCGACGCAAAATTAGCGGAATTTCTGTGTGGAGTTCTCACCAGTGATTTTGGCCTGGGACTCTGATTCCTAGGGCTCGGATTTCCAGCCCCAGATCTCTGTTTATTCGATCTCCTCAGTCCTGGCGAGTGATTTTCACATGCGTTAGCAAATTCATCCTCACTTGGAAGAACACATGTGGAAATATCAGCACCATTACCTTCAAAAATCTTTACCTCCGGTGGTAAACTCGAAGTAACATAATCCTTCCTCGAATACTCAGCATGATTGAGTTTACGATTGAGAACTCTCTCTGGTAATCCACTCTTCAAGCAAGTAACTTTGTCACCAATGATAAATTCATGATTATCCCTGTTTGATTCATTACAATCCTCACGATTACAGTAAATCATTTGATTTTGCTGTTTGGCTTGATTGCCCTCAGAGCTCTCAGGATCCTGAACAAATTCGTAAGAACTTACTCGTCTCTCTGCCATTGTTTTCCCATTGGCCCCATGATCTTCCTTCTTGCCCCTCATATGCACCCTAGACACTTCACTCTCATGAATATTATTATGCTCAGCTGCTTCAAATTGATTTATTGTTTTGGCAACACTATACCCAGAATTCTGCGATAATGGAAGTGAAGCAGAGGCTGTGAGTTTCTGATGAACATGATGTGTGTGACCATAAGATTGGCCCCAATTATTCCTATTCATCTCGTCAATTCTCTGGTAATTACTCTCATGCAGAACCCTCGGTGACACATAATCAGATTCTTTAGAATAATACTCATGATACTGATGCTTCGGATCTTTACAATTTTTTTGCCCCTGCCTAGCTGGAAGTGGTGGAGGTGGAGTGCCATCGGACTTGAGATTATTCAGTTCTTTCTCATGTGTTTCCAATAATCCGTCGTACCACCGTTCATCGTGCACCCCAGTGTTATCCTGAGTAAATCTGGGATCTGTGAATGATCTCGAGCTCGAGCCAGTGCCATATCCCGACGAATTGCTAGATCTCGGTGGACTCATCGATCTCTCATGATTCTTCTGATACTGCTGTGCCTGCTGTGCACTCTGCTGGCTCGATGTACTCTCAGTATTCGTCACATTCTCATAATCACTCTCATAATTACCAGACAAATATTCACAACTCTGAAGAGAGCAGCCCCTCCGCGGTTGTCCATCATTAGTCGGTGGTATGACAGTGACAGTGACTTGTGCACTCGTTTTCAAAAGATCAACCATTTGATCGTGACTGAGAGTAGAAACGGCGACTTTACAAATTTCAACGAGTCGCGATCCCTGTCTGAGACCGGCCTGCCAAGACTGTCCCATACTCTCCACCTGGGTAACAACACCATCAGGCTGAACATGAAATCCCAATTGTCCCAGGCTATTTCTCCTCAGTGACAGCTCAGATGCTGGTGATCCTTGTGTAACAGCTCGAAGTCTAGCGACAATCTCCATTATCTCGTCTCTCTCCGTGTAATCAGGTCTCACATGGATACTGATGCACTCACCCTGGTGATAATAAAGCCTCAAGCTATTAGTCTGCGCATGCCAGCCTAGAATACTGACGCACGGTGATACATAAACAGTTTGCCTCGAGTGCTCCTCAATAAGAACGATAGTATCAACACTAATTCCAAGGTAGCAATCTGTATTCTGTGTACTCTCCTCCAATATAACTTGCCAACAAATGGCACCCCTCTGTGCAGCATCACAAGCCAATCTCGGTCTTACTGTTGCTTTTTTCTTACTGCTAAATGACATTATCGAGAATTTTTGTCCAGTATCGATAATCGTTGTGGTTGAGTAATTAACAGCTAAATCTTTGAGGTACTCCTGTCGCGTTCTTGTTGCCATTGTTGAAAATTTTTCAGAGCGATGTGCAGCGTTCTCAGCATTTATTACTTTGGCAAGAATAAAATCGGCAAATGATTTGCCTTTGTTGAATATTCCCCCCTTGGCAACTGGTGGTCCGAAAATCGGTACCTCCTTGCTGCGCGATACAGCAACGCTGTATTGAGTATTATCAGTGCATGGATTAATAGCACGAACGATGATGAAGACATGTTGAAATTGAGATCTTATGCGTTTTGGACTGAAGGGTAGAGCACCGGGTTCTTGGAAGACTATTGTTACAATATCATTACCGATGTGGCGTTTTCGTAATAATTGTTGTCTATTATTGGGAGTGAATGGAAGCATCGTGGCAACGTGAAGTGTCACTTGAGCTCCACGATGTGTTGAAGCAACAGTGTGAGTTCCTGTTGAGTCTGTTCTGGTGTCCAGTCCAGCTTTGTACCCCTCAAAACCCCTCAGTCTCACTCTCTGGCCAATTGTCTCCAGAAATTCAAGGAATGCAGGCCCTGAGTGCTGATTATTGTACATTTCCTCTTCAGTTCTCTGTCCAGATCTGCAATAGAGCACACCAACTTTGTAACGATTCGAGAGCCCTTGTTCATCGAGCCTTGCTAGGGCTTCCTCAGCTGGCTGCGTACCCAACTTGAGACACCCCAGTTGAACTTCCGGTGCAACGAGCTCCATTATCTCACGTGTAGGTATTCTACTTGTCTGATTATTACGTAGACAAAGGGCTTCCTCTGGTATCGATCCACGCAGTGTCAAGAGTTCAGAGGTTCGAACAATTATTCTGTAATGATTACCATCCCTACGAATACTGATTGCCACTGGACCCAACTGATCGTCCATTCCAAACCAATTCTGATGATCTTTACCCAGAAAATACTTTCGGTAGTAACGAGCACCCTCGTCGATACTCTCTATTGGTAGGAGACGTTTTCTCAGAGGACACGTGTGTTTCCAGAGAGTCTCCCCTGGTGGTGGCTCCAGAACAGAGACACCATAGGATAGTGAGGGCCTGTGAGCACCTGGTGTTGACATTGGAGACCGTCCAAGAGCCACTTCTCTCTCACCCTCTCCACCGATTTCATTCCTGAAGAATGGACAAGACTCCAGAAGGTCATTGCTCTTGCCATCACCAGAGTCCTCTTGAGTCTCTCCACCTGGATTGGAATTACTGTCTGGAGTCTCATCTGGAGTTGGCGCACGTATCGTACTCGCTGCTGATGCACCAGTGGCTGTATTTCTTCTCCTGGCGAGTAAAATGCCCCGGAGTTTAGCAGCATATCCTAAATTCGCTGTGAGTGACTGGCAGTCGTAGTGGAGAAAAGCCCTTCGTCGATGACGCTCCTCCAAATCACCCGGAACGACAGACGATGGGGTACTGGTGGGTGTTGATATCGATGACATTCCACTGGATCCTGTTTCTTTTCCACCCCAGAGTCGATTGAGCTTTAGACGTAATTTTGGACTTGATGAAGACGTGGGGCCACACACTTCGTCAGTGGAGACAATTCCTGGTGAATTATCCGTGTGATGATGGTACAGACGATCTGCTGATGTACGTCCACTTCTGAAGTCCTGCAGCATTGCGAATAAATTGTCTCCACCACTTGCTGAATTACACTGGCCACTGACAACGTCGATGCTACCTGTAAAATATTATTTATTGGTTCACGGTTGAGGGGGGATTGGGAATAATGATGGCGGTAAAAAATTGAAATTCAGTCTCACCGTGGGAACCATATTCGCGTCTTAGTGGTTGGGCATCAACTGCTCGGCCTGTACGCTCTGGACTGTGCGGCAATTCCAGGCTGGAATTTGATCTGTGAAGAGTAAGACCGCCCGCACGACTGACACCACCACCACCGGTATTACTGCCACTTCCGCCCCCACCTATACCACCACCAGCGGCCATCACCGCCAACTGAGTGATCATCTCATCATTCTGTAACATAATCGTTTGTTGATTGATATCTCTATTGTTCTTATTTCAATTGTTACAGTGGATCGACTTGTTCATATATTTTATTTCGACAACTCGAGGACAGCCGAATAAAATTTCAATGATCTATTTCTTCAAAATAGAATTTACCTACTCAAAAATTGAATAAAACAAAATAAATTGGAAATTATTAAATTCTCAGGAACTGGAGAAATACCAAAACTATTTTTCCACCCCCACCAGAGGGATCATAAGTGATTTTTTTTAATCGATCAATCAACAATTGATTTCACATATTTGTGTCATAGTCAATAATAAAATATTTAGGGAAACAATTTTTTTTTAGTTTAAAACTTTGAGATAAAAATCCTTAAATTTATATTTCTCTCTCTATTTTTGCGTAAACAGGTGAACGCGCCGTAATTTATAGGGTTCGGCAAAAAAATCACTCATAAGTTATATTAGAATAGACCAATCAGGAGTGGAGGATGTGTCCCCACTGAATTTTTGCTCTAAATATAACTCATGAGAGGCCATTCCTATAACTTACGAGAAGCTCTCTTCTCCTTGCGAATTTCGTAACACCTCGAATAAAATTTTCAGACTGACAGGATACAGATGGAGAAATGTAGTGAAGCGAATTATATTCCCACCCCAACAATATCAATTATAATTAATTATAATTGCAGCAATAATCTCCCATAACATCACTGCACCAATCCTTCATCGATCTCAAATTTTTCAAATCACTCGAAAAATTCAGATCAGCGAAACAAATAAACGGAAATAAGTGCATGTTAGAGAAATCATATTTAATAAAATATTTCGTGTGAAATATTTTAATGAAATACTCCACTCTCTGAATAATTCACTCATGGAATAAAAAATTGTAACGTAACAATAAAATTCTATTTCAATACACGAGTACATGCATCGAATGACATATATTCTATCGGAACAATATTTTTCTCTCGGTGTATGTAAAACGAGAGAACATTCGGGGAAGAATCAAAGACTCTCCGACTGAACCAGTTATGCAAATAATACAATTCCGTACATTCTTTCGAGAGCCCTATTGACTGAACCAGTGCACTACCGCATTCAGAAAACCGTATTTTATTTTTACTCCATTTTCATTCGTCCCTTTCACCATATTCCCTAGAGAAGTAATCACTTGACCCTCCGAGGAAATATGATAAATATTCCAGATTAATCCCTGCGCCCATGTCCACGAAAGAAGTCATTGATTCCGAGCTTCTTTCCACTTATTAAAACGGCTCTATCTCGAAAACTACCACGCCCACAAAAAAAAAGTTCAATAATAAAATATTCCTCTTATCATTTCGAAAAAGTAATATCTTACATGAAATTCGGATATATCAAACGCTTCAGGAGATATCAGAGTTATCACCAGCCAGGCGGATCACACGAAATCTTCTCGGCCCACCAGTGAATTTTTGTGAATTTCTCCAAAACTAAGGGAATTACCGGAATTTTCGTAGAGATGGTTTTGCCAGTTTTCGAGGAGCTTTAGAAAAGATGTTATAACAAAAATTTGGCTATCTCTGTTGGATTTTGAGTTTTTCTTCGAAAATCGGGAGAATAGCGAGATTGACGGTTTTAACGGTGCGCGGATGATCCTGGGCCAGATGCTGATGAAATTTTTTGTGGTGGTTGTAGGGGAATTTTGATGGAATGAGTGACAGTGACAAATGCACTAGATTGTCGAGGAACTCTGGCATTGGCGCCTAAGCGTTGGTCTGTCCCAAGGGGCATCGAACTCAACACGAGACTTCGCAACCCAACTACTAGGCCAACACATCTCTCGTTGACTCCTCGTGGTTATTCCACACCCGACTCTCTTTTTACATGCACTCATCACTGCATCGCGATTTATTCCGCTTATTCCGGATGATGAAACAAAAATTCAAACATCCTTTCACGCTCGAAACAGACATCACACCCTCACCTACGGAAATAAATTTATAACAAAATTTTTCTACTCCAATATATCCAATGCATAACCAACGCAATTCTAAATCACGAATTTTTACCGAATAATCTGAGTAAAAAAGGGAAAAATAACTGTAATTTTTCAATTTATCGAAACACTCACACGCAAAAAAAAATTGAAAAAAATACTGAACAGAGAAATTATATTTTAATGAGTAAATGAAACATTCCATGAAAATTAATGCTTCAATGAATTAATGCGTTAGATCAAAGAGAAGATTAAAGAGGCGGGACTTTTGTGGAATTAAATGTGATGTGCAATTATGAGCTGAAGTAATTTACAAATTTATCTGGCACTTGAAAAATTGTGATTGTTACAATCGATAGACTATCGCTATAATTTTTCGACCAGCCAGCAGACACGATGAATCCTCAAGCATAACGATGCAGAAGTTTCACTAATTTTTTTTTTTTTAATTTCGCCTTCTCTGTGGAACATAAAAAATGTAGCAACTTCGTCATGGTAGAGGTAATCCAAAGGATGTATACCTGTTTATATCGAATCAACATTATTTGCAATTCATACTTATCAAATACATTATTTCCTCCCCCCGGAAATTATTACCATTCATTTTCCCCACATTCTCCACTTTTTTCAGTATAAAACAGAACTAGTGAACTACTATAATATTACGTCCATTTCCTCTCTCTCTTCCTATCTCGTTAATTAATTGAACATCTCATACGCTTTCTACTCAATCCCGCATATAGTCACTCCCTAATGGGATTCAACAATAAGTATTATTCCCCCATACATTCCCGTAGAAATCCCCCATTTTAGGATCGAGGGAGAGCAATAAAAAAATTCAAACAGAACCGATAAAATATATCATCCATTGATTTCTCGATACCTATCGCTCACACGACGAAATCTCCAGATGCTCTTTATCGGTGGATAAAAATATTTAAAAGCATGTAATGATAACGGTATGCAAGCCTTCAATTCTGATATTATACACTTTTACCGAGGTGCTGCCATTTTGTACTGGGGAGTAATTTTTTTATGGATTTATTCACGCAGTATTCTGAGAAATGAGTAGAAACTGTTCTCCTGTGCATAATTGCCATTATTTGTTGTTATTTTCTTCACTCATTAAATTCTCTTTTGTTACTCCCTGGCGAGGGACTTTAAAAAATAGATTAGCCCATCAATTATCTAGGATGTTGAAAAAAATAATTAACAAGTTATGAAAGAGACAGTAAAATGCGTGATAAAATTGGATTGCATATCGTTAGCGCGGAAGACACTCAAATGCAACCGGTAAACGGCTTTTCCCGTTTCCTCTACTATGTAACAACTTCCGGTTGGATTCACCGTGACAATGATTTATGATTAGATGGAAATAGCCACTTAAATTGACAGAGTGAGGATACCTGAATATTTATTGGACTCAATAGTCGAGAGTCTGACAGGCAAACGTTTTAACGATTGACAATCATCGATTTTCAGTCGACTCAAGTAATCGATCGATGATTTTACGATCACCTAATGATTTCAATAAACCGGCAAGAACCTTCCAATATTTATTGGTACCCAAAACCCAAGGATTGAGAACTGAAAATCAAGTTAAGGCCTGGATGGACTGTCTGTTAATGTTAAAAAGTTAATTTACTCCAAAATTGGGACTTCTAATTACTCCGTCAATTAATCGTTTTTTCCGATAATTATTAGCTAGCGGCCTAGTTGTTGACAATCGCTAGAACGCTAGCTAACAATTATTGAAAAAAACGATTAATTGCTAAAGTAATCAGAAATCCGAATTTCGGAGTAAATGATCTTTTCTAGATAATCCACCCCAGCCTTAAACATTAAAATGTCAAGGAGTTACAATAAAAATGAGGATTTATTAAAAAATCCATCAGAAATATATCTAAAATGACAATCAGTTGTCTTTTCGCCGATAAACGTTGAAAAATGTGAAAAAATGTGGAAAAATACTGTTCTTGTTGAATGGCCTCGAAGACAACGGTAACGCTGATCTCTCGTGCCATTACAAAAAATAACGAGACGCGTCGAAAAGCGGACAGACTGCCAGTGAAGTCCACGTAATAATAATAATATAAAAAAGGAAAAATAAAATATGATAGAACGTATGAAAGAAGTCCAGTTGCTGCAACGTCAAAGCTAATGTATACCTAGGAATCTCGGAGCAACATGAAAACGCCTTTGTCCTGATGACCAGAAATGCTCCAAACCGACACAACACACACTAATTCATTCTTCACTGATCCATTGAATTTAACACATAGTAAAGAATTGAGGAGAGCATCACAATAGTAGAGGTGAGTTCTCCGAATTCATTTTCTCAAGATACAAAACACGTAATACAGATAATACAGATAGTAGAGATAATATTGACTCATATACATAAATGTTAATGGATAAACCAAATATAAACAAATATAAATGAATATAAATTAATATAAATCAATATAAATTAATATAAATTAATATAAATGGAGAATTCACTCACCCAACATTTATCCAGGGCATTGTTCCCCCGTAGACACTTCGTTGTTGATAAAACTTGTTAATTCCAATAATAATCAAATCACCAACGGTATTTCACTCTGTTTACACTATTGTTTATTTATGATTATTCACTGATTATTTCACGTTTACTTGTCTGTTACAGTCGCACTCAGAATTACACTGGTTTTAATGGTGGAGTTGTACCTAGAGGATGCTAGGCAAAAGTGAAATACTTTAACGCGTCACTCAGGTATACTAGAGAGTTTTAGCGTCATGCACAGATAGACGGTTAGACAGGGAATTTACTAGTGTATGCCAGGGAGTGCAGCTCAGAACTGAGGAACAGGGGGGGGTTCGAGCCAAATGGTTTAACTGATGGTGGGAACTCAAAGAGAGGTGGGGGATACGTTTCGATGACGGTCATGTTGGAATTCTGTACTTCACTGGTAAAAGGAGTGAATTTACTCGGTTATTCCAAGTTTTTTCAACATATCTCGACAACTGCTGGAGATAATTAATCGTGGTCAGGAGCTTTTTTGTAGATCTCGTCGAAACCTGGAAAAAAGGTTCCTACATAAATTTTGATATTTCGAACAGTTTTCGAGATATTTACGAAAAGCATCGAGACGTGATTTACCCTTTTTTCCTCATTTTTTACAAAATCAATTTTCTCCATTTTTTTTCCAGTTCATTGAGGAATGACAAGTGTCAGGCTCGTTAGATCTTCTTTTCTTAATTACTGGGGACTGGGGTATCTGGAGATCTGGAAATCTGGAACTGGAATTTAGGTATAACGAGAGATTTGAAATTGCTGGATATTTTATAAAGGTGGGGATAAACAGCCGGACGTTCTCTCCTATGTACTAGAGAGCATATACACACAGACACATGTAGTCTCATTCGAAATTATGTACCTATATATGATCTCTGATGACTACAAATCATACCGGTTGATCCTGTTCTATTCTCTGCGTCTTGGGATCAAAACTCGCAATTCCAAGCATTTCCGAGTGACTCACCTTCTTCTTCTCGTTTATTCATTCGTATTCCTCGGGCTGTTTCTTCATCTTTTTTTCAAAGGGTTCTTCATTTTTGTTTTGCCTTTTGGAACATCTGATGTGCCATGATTCATCCAAGGAATCTGTTTAAATTTCGTATCTACCGTCGCTCAAACGCTTGCCCCTGTCCCACATGTCACGCGTATACCCACGCTAATTGCTTCATCATTATTATCGTGAAGTACGAATTATTTTTTTTATCCTGTTCTTTCTGATTCTGAGATTGAGTTATTGCCGATATCTCCTCATTTTTCACGTTTTTTTCTTTCGGAAATTTCTGGGAAATCCGGGATTACATTGGAAAAAATATTTCGCTTTTTGATCCTATCAGTATTTAATGACTCATAAATTTTTTACTCGTGCCTCGATTTTTCTAAATTTTTGGGAAATTGAGAAAGAACTTTTACGATGATGAAACTTCTTGAGAGATTGCATCATAATAAAATTTCCATATGAAATATTTTTTTACGTTTATTGTTTCTCCGAATTTTAAAAAAAATTTGAGGAAGAAAATTTGGTCTCTATTTGCCGAGATTTTGAGCCGAAGAAAATTATCCTAGCGTTATTTTCTAGTAGTCTCTGAATTCTCAGAGCATTTGTGGACTAAATTCAGAATATTATGTTCTGGTCGTCAAATTGATTCGATAAAAAAACGGAAAAAATGGCGATGCGTACAGATAATACCGGATGTGATGGTGGTGAATGAACGGACGGATGGGTGGGTACGACAGGTTTACTATTTCCTCTTTCTACCGAAATTGCTGCAATTATTGGTTGAAAACAAGAGAGAAAGGCCTGAGCATTGTTGTATAGAAATTTTTGTTAACTGTCGAATATTTCAGTTGAGACGTTTCAGTGGACCGTAAAGCGCTTGAGGCAATTTGGACTAGTTCTATTGACCATTTTTTTTATATTGCCATCACTATTGGATATCCCTGAATAACAGAGTGATAAAAAAAATGAAAAAAAAATGAAGAATATAAAGAACTGAGACACTTTTTTAAATAAAAAGATTTATACAACAGTTGAAATACGAAGCAATATTGAAAACGTACATGTTATGGATTTCATATTTTTTTTTTATTCATCCTTGGGTACTGATCCCAGCAATTGTTTGAGCTCTTCATCCATCGCCTTCTCTTCAATCTGCTCCAGATAATCGAAGATTGGTAGAGCTCTTCCCCTTCTCGCTGCTCGTTCAATTTTTTTCGCCAATTTTATTTCCAACGGATGGCATATGAAGTTAATTACTCGGCCAGGAGTTTTGCTACCCACTCGACCCGTTCTACCGCACCTGTTGTAATGCAAATTTAATAATGTGGGCAGCAGTTAATTAATGAAAGTTTCTCCAGTAATGTAAACATCTTCAACACAAAGAGACTCGCCAAACTGATTAAAATATGATAATATTTATTATTAAATCTCGCTGAATTAGTACTCACCTGTGAATATAATCAGCTGTGTTCAGTGGAAAATCGTAATTTATGACGTAATCCACTGTTACTGTGTCCAGTCCTCGCCCCGAGGAATTGGTCGCTGACAAAATGTGAACTTTGCCATTGCGAAACTCCCAGTAATTGTCTCGACGAATTTCTATTGGGTGATTACCGTTCACAGAGACGGTTTTTATATTCATTTGGTTCAGGAAAATTGACACCCAGTCAGCTGTTGCTGCATTGTTGCTGAAGATTATTGTTCCTTCCTTGCGAAGAGCTCTCGATTTTATGAATTTTAAAAGAGCTGCGGGCTTCTGGAGGGCACCGAGACGCCAGAATTTTTGGGGGACGAGGACTCTGTGGATGCTGCGGGTCTGAATAGGAACGATAGAGGCCGTCTGGAATTCAATCGTTATAAAAAATACTTGAGACATTAAAATTCATATTATTTCTTCAGTACAACAAATTAATTCTAGTTCGTTATATAATCTAAATAAAAATGGAATAAACTCACATTTAAACAATTGTCTAGATATGCAGGTAGTTTATCCGACATTGTAGCTGAGACCATGGTTAATTGACTGCTGTCAGGTGTCTGAGTATTACTGACAATATGTTTAAAACCAAACTATGCAGAGGAAAAAATATTTATTAATAATTGAAATAATAACAGCATCATTGAGCATCTGTAACGTCTCACATTGATTCTCTTGAGAAAAATGGACAGCTTTGCATCGAACGCCTCATGAAATAGAGCGTGAGCCTCATCTAATACTGTATGGCGCACTTCATTCAATTTATAAATTCGGGTCGTCGTCAATTTACTGGTGATACCAACGGTTCCAATCAATATGTCAACGATCTTCACTGATGGATTACGCATTATTCTCTTCGTTCTGCCACCGATGACAGTTTGAATACTTATATCTAAACCGCTAGCCAATTTTTTTACCTCTGTCTATTGAATCAACATAAAATTAATGACATAAATTACTGAATATCCATTTGCATAAATATTTCTATGCTCTACAAAATTCGGAACAGTTATTTATAATTCCTTCGAGCAACTTTGAGATTGTAAAAAAATTAATTGAATTAATTTTTACACTAATCTACTCTACTCACTCCAATTTGGAACACCAATTCTCTACTCGGTACGAGTATCAAAGCGAGAGGAGAATTTGGTCGTCTTTCCGGTAATAAAGGCTTCCACCTCAGAATCTGATCAATCATCGGTAATAAATACGTAAAAGTTTTTCCAGTTCCAGTCTCTGCCTGAATTATTGTATTTTGCCCATTGAGTATTTCAGGAATCGCCATCTTTTGAATTCTCGTTGGGTTCTCCAATCCCAGCCTTTGCACGAGCTGTTGAACCTCAGGGCCAAGTCCGATGTCTTTGAAAGTCGTTTCATCTTCGTCCAGGACTTCATTATCGTCGTCCTAAACCAGCAAAACTCTTGTTACTAATAAAATTAAAAATGTGGAGGATATTCCACGAATTTTCCAGGTCAAAGGGATTTTTTACTGGACATTTCATGTTTGCCATTCGCTGTGCTTTTCTGTGAACTACAACTTAATATTAATATTTAGAAAAAATTACATCTATGTCCGGATAAATCGTGAAGTAATCGCCTTTCGATTTCACGTGATGCCACCCCTCTGAAGCCACTGGTATCGTATCAAACTTTTTGAAAGTTGTGCCTTTATAAAAATTGAACTCTTTCCTCTTGCACAGAACTATCGGTTTTCGATTATCCTGTGGTACAATTTCCGGCTCATTTTTCTCAGCCTCAAGTTCATCTCCTTCATACACAGTACTTGCAGGAATCGTGTTGGCATGAGATTGTTTACTGTGCAATGTTGTCTAAAATGTAATAAATAAATAATAAAATTCTGTGAATAAAAAATTAGTGTTTAATTACAAAATCAATCTCACCGAAAATCTTCCCAAGTTATTCGTGCGGGTTCTCGTAACTTGACAGAGTTTACAAAAGCTGTGAAACATTCTGGAAAAATTTGAGAGCAATTGATTCTGAATGAAAAAATATAACCTCTCATCACTCACATTTTCTTGTAATTCCAATTAATGTTCAACAAGTACTCGGGAGATGGCGTTATTTTGGCGGCTGGGTGACGGGATAAATTCAATTTCAAATACTTCTGCACGTGTCGGGTTATTTTGACAGGTCATCCCTCAGATAAAATCAAGTTCTCAGAAATAGACACAAAATGACGTGTTTCATAAATTCCTAGACATTTTTGTCATCCATGTGTGGGCGTATTTACGATGTAAGCCATATCAAAGACGATCTGCGATTTTTATTGCGTCTTTAAAATCGAGTCATTACTGTACAAAGAGAATTTTCCGAGATAATTTTTACACGAAGCGAAAATTACAATAAAATTTTCCCAATTCTTGCAGTAAACATTTATTGCTAATCTAATTAATTCTTTTCATTGAAATAATTGAAATGATTTGTCAATACAATTTATATTGATCTCTCTATCGATTTGTCAAACAACAAAAGATGGAAAATCCCATGATAATTGAAGAATGAATAATTAATTGTTACTCATTCCATTTTCCTCGGAATTTGTAACAATATTTACACAATTCAGCGATTTCT